TATATAATTAAAACAAATAAGTATAGATTTGAAAAAAACCAAGAAGATAAAAAATTAAAAACGATTTAGGAATACTAAGGATGTATAATTTATATTGAGATTTCTTAACTTTTATTGAATATTTATAAAAGATTTTTTTAAAATAATAATGTTCTTTATTGAAATAAATAAAAAAGAGTTGATATTTAAATAGAATAAAAAGGCAAAACAAACTTTTCAAAAAATCAAGAATAGATTCATTAAGGAATTTATTCTTTATAATTATTATAATAATCGAAAAAGTATTATCGAAACAAATACTTTTAATATCTATATAACGAAAGTTTATTTACAAAAAGATAATAAAAAAAATTTATATTTTATCATTTATTATTCAAATAAAATAAATAAAACAAAACAAAATTACAATTTTTATAAAAAGGAATTTATAATTATCATAAAAACATTGAAATATTAAAGAATCTATTTTCAAAAAATTAAATTTTCAATAATTATTTATACTAATTATATAAATCTTCGAACCTTTATTATTACTAAAATCTTAAATAATTATAAATTAATATAATAAATCAAAAAGCTAATAAGATTTGATTTGATAATCAAATATATCAAGAAAAATAACAATATAAAAATAAACATTTTGAATAAACCATCAAATTACAAAAACGATAAAATCTATCAAAAAATAACAATTTTGAAATCTTTATTAAACAAAAATATCATTTTAAATTTAACAAAAATCGTTATTATAAAGAATAAATTAACAAAGATCTAGAAAAACAAATTTATTATAATATAAAAAAAGAAAGAAAATATCAAATAAACAAAATTATCTATAACTATTGATAGATTATTATAAATAAAAAACAAAATGTAATTATCAAATAATATAACCTTCAAATATATTACAAAACAATATACATTACTAATTTATAAATATTAAAGAATACAAAGAATATACTTAAAAATCAAAAAACAATATTAAAATCTAAAATTTCGAAATATAATTAATACAATAATTATCAAATATAATACCTATATCAAAAATAAATACGATTAAAATACTATCTATACTATAAAAATCAATATTATAAAACTTCATAAATCTATTACCAAAATCCAAAAATCTAATAACAAAAATAATATACAATTATCTTATTCATCTTCTTAGTTGCCTTATTAATCTTCTAATCATAATAAACAAATTAACAAAATACCTAATACTTATATTATATCAGATGATCTTAATTATAAAAGTACTAACCTCAATATTTTAAAAAAAAAGTTATTACAATATATAAATTACCAAAATAAATATTCTTCGATAAAGATAAACTTTTTATACCAAAATTCTGAATCATTTTAATAATATTATTAAATATAAAAAAAAAATTGGTTTATAATATTATATTTATAAATCAATAAAGGAAATAAAAGAATAAATCAAATTATCAAAGTTTATCTTCGATATTATATAAATTATCAACAAAATAATTAAATAGAACTTTTATCTTTAATATAATTTGTATATAACAATTCAATTTCGAAAATAATATAAATTACTTCGAATTATATCAATTATAAATACAAATTAATTATATATTACAAATTTAAAATTACAGAAATTGAAAACCAATCTATAATAATACAAATGAAAAAAACTTAATGAAATTCATAAAGAAATAATCATCAAATTAAAATTTATTATTAAAAAAAATATACATTATTATAATAAAAAATATAATTAAAAATCAATATTAGAAAAAAAGAATAAAGTTTATTTACTTCGAAAAAATATTGAAAGAAAGAAAGAAATCTAATACAAAATTAGATTACAAAAAACTAGAATTATTCAAAATCAAAAAATTTAAAGAACCCTTGAATTATAAATTAATATTATCGAAAAGTATAAATATAAATTTAATATTCTATATATCATTATTCAAATTAACATCTTTAAAAATATCAAAAGCTTTTGAAACTAATATTATATTTATAAATCAAAATATTGAATACAAAATGAAGAAAATACTAAATTATAAATATATTAAAAACAAAATCAAATATTTGATAAAATAAAAAGATTGTCTCGATTCCGAAAAAGAATTTCAAAAGTTTTATTAATAGAATTCAGATTTGTTTAAAAAGGAAAAGAATTCATTATATTTTATAAAAAAGAATCGAAAGAATCAAACTTATTTATAAAAATTTTATTGAAGTTGATAAAATTAACTAATAATTGATCAAATTGATCAAAAGAATCAGAATTAATAACGAATATTGAAAATACAATAAAAATTTTTTTTTTTTTCTTTCCTTCTCTTTCAAAGTATCTAATTCACTAAGATTTCGTTTAATCATCTTTTTACAACAATCTTATAGATAATCTTATTGTTTTCGAAAACAAAGAATTTTAATTATAATTTTCTTTTCTTTTTTATAAAGTTTTTCCTTTTGTTTATTTAAGGATTTCTAATCATTTTTCAAGGTATTGTAAAGAGTACAAGATCATATATATTTGGAACAATAAATCTTTTATAAATTATTTAGAATCTTTAAATAACAAAAATCTTCTATACGATAATAAATATATAGAATTGTTTTGATATCAGAATTTTTGATTTCAATTATAAAATAAGATTTCTTTTTATTTTTTTAATGAATTTTATTGAATTGTAAATTATTTATAACAAAAGAAAAAATCTAAGATATAAAACAACAAGAATTGATAAATTATATATTAATTATAAACAATCAAAAACAATATCTAATTAAAAAAAATATATATTACAAATCATTTATATTTGGATTATAATAATATTATAAAAATCGATAATTTAATTATCGATTATAAAAGAATTTCTTATTATTATAATTAGGAATCTAAAAATCCTAAAACAAATATTTTAAATAATTATAACGAAATAAAACAAATATCTTAACTTTACAAAATAAATTAAAATAATAATTATTCTAGAATAGTTGTTCTAGAATAATTATATTAGGATATCAATTATCCTTAAAAAGAGAATTATTTTAAAACAATTCTAATAGAATAAGATTACTAGGATTAGTTTACTAGAATAAAGATTATATAATAAAACTTTCAAAAATATAAACTCCTTTAGATTTCTTGAAGTTCTTAGAAGCATAAATTTTTCAAAGCTTTCAAAAATGATTAATATATAATCAGAATAATTTCATAATTTAAAAACTTTGTACTTAATTTAATTATCAATTAGTTTATTTATATTCTATTTGATTTAATAACGAACTTATCTTCAAATGAATAATCAATAATTAATATTCTTAATCTACAACTATCAATTATACGAATCTCAGATAGCGGCTGCCTCGACCAGATCGTTACGCTGAGATTATAAGGTTTATATCAAGCTTTTTATTAAATTTATTTATTGAGGTATTTATCAGAGTATTTATCAGGGTATTTACTGGGGTATTTTATACCAATTAGATTATCAGGATCGCGACTCGTTTAAGCGAGTTTCTTATTTTTTATAATCTATACTAGGTAAATTATAATATATTATATATATAACAAAGTTTTGATATCGGCAAGCCGACAATAATAATAATAATATTATTTAATTGCCGATTTGTTAACTCTATAACCTTGCTGTACACAAGGTTTACTTAGTGTAATCGTAGAAAATGAGGTTCGTTTAAGGTTGCGATATGATTGATCGAGAAATGAGTTGCGTTTCTGACAATCTGATTGGTCTAAAGTACCCTGTAAAAAATCTAACAAAAAGCTTAACATAAACCTTACAATTTTAGACAAATCTGACTTAGAGCTTTTTTCAATTCGACTCAATTGAAATCATTCAACTCAATTGAATTATTCAACTTTACTAGAATCATTCAACTCAATTGAAATTATTCAATTCAATTTACAATTCAATTGAAATCATTCAACTTATTCAATTCAAAATAATAATATAAATAATATAATTATTATTTTTAAATAAAATAATTTAATTTTCAATTATTAAAAACAAATCGATATTCTATTTACACCCTGATATATATTTAATATTTAATTTATTATAAATTTTTTAAACTTTAAATTTTCATTAAACTATCTCGAAAAGCCAGGGGTCCAGGGGGCGCAGACCCTTGGTATTATTTAATAATATTATAATAATTATAATAATTTTTATTATTTAATATTAATATTATTATTATCAGCTTGTCAGTATTATAATCTTGTTGTATACAAGGTTTACTCAATAAATAATAGAAAATAAGAAACTTGTTTAAGTGAATTGCGATCCTGACAATCTGATTGGTCTAAACTACCCCGGTAAATAATCGAATAAAAAGCTTGGCATAAGCCTTATAATCTCAGATAAATCTGATTTAAAGCTTTTTTCAATTCAATTCTATTGAAATCATTCAATTCTAAAGTCATTCAATTCATCTTTATTAATTCAATTCAACTTATTCAACTTATTCAATATATACAATAAGGTTTTGATATCGACAAATTAATAATAAAATTAAAAATATAAATTTATTAACTTTTAAAAATAAATTTTATAATTAATATATTCTTAATTTTATATATTAATCTTCAATAATAATAAAATAAATAAATTTTATTATATTTATATATAAATATAAAAATAAAAAATAAAAAATATATAATTTAAATTTAAATTTTTAAAAAAAATTATATTTTTATTTATTTTTCAATTATATATATATATAAATTTATTTCTTTTAGAAGTTGATATTGATTACTAGTGGGGCAAAAGAAGAAAGAAGATTTAAAGATTGAAAGATTGAATGAAAAGATTAAAAGATAAGAAAAGAGATGTGTTCTAGAATCTCGCGAAATTTATTTAGATGTCTGCGTTGGCCAATGTGGGAGGGGTCCAATATTGAACATGATTGGTTCTCTTGAATGCGACAGCACCGATTTGTTGTCAATTTTCAATTTTACATCTAGCCATTCATACAACCATAATTAATACCAGTGTAAACAACTTTCTCCCGTTCCCCTTCCCCTTCCCTCTCTCCTTCTCTTTCTCCTTCTCCTTCTCTGCCCTCACCCCTTATCCTTCCTTTCCTCTCCTTTCCCTCTCTCCCTCTGCATCCTATCAGGTCTCCTCGTTCATCCCCGTCCTTCTTCACCAATCCGGCTCAACCAAACTTTACATGATAGATAGTAGTACATCCTGCACTGTATTGCACTTGGTAGGGTACTGTGCCCATCCCCATCCACGGATTATACATACCTTTTACTTCTAACCTTGCTCACCACACTCAATACACTTTAACATTTTCATACTCTCCTCGTCATTACAATACCAATACCGAACACCTTCAGTTGAAGAGTTGTCTATGTTCCTTTGATAAGAAAGAGCGTAAACTTTACTACACACAATATTGTCGACCATCATCATTGTTAATCATCTTCATTGTTATTATCGTTTCTGCTATTGATTACTTTTCTACCTTTTATTAACTCTGCGAGCAATTCCGATCCTTATCACTATCTATAATTGTGGCACCGCGCATCCTGGCTGCCACGACTGGCTCCATCCAGCCTTCATCAGCCTTTCCTTCTGGCCTTGCACACTCCTTCTCACTTCGCCATCGCTCCTTTATTGCGCACTTTATCGACAATCATATCTAATTCTTTCCTTCAATATCCATGGCATTTCGTCAGTGAGGAAGGATTTGAGGTAGTATGTCAGTGTAGTGAGATGACAACATGATACAAATGCAACGATCCTCGTCGCTCCCTGGGCCTGGGCATGCCTCACCTCGTACGTCTCGTATTTGCGATATACGACATCTTATTGTTCTCTTATATTATTTTTCTTTTCGTCCTAGAGAAAATTGCTAATGCGCCGAATCGCTAGCCGTTTCCCCAACAATCACTCATGTATCGTCCAGGAGCCCAACCCCTTCTCCTCCAGAGAACGACGGTTTACCACGACTACATCGATATCAGTCGAGAAGTCCACAAAGACCCATCACCTCTTATAAGGAGCTGCCAAATGACAGGGATGGAAGATGGACTACTGGCCAGGATTCTTCGCGTTCGCCATCGCCCTCACCCACATCTGCTCAGGACACTCCGGGTGTCGTAGATAGATCATCTACCCCAAAGCCGCATAACCAGCAATCTATAGCTCCAATGAAGATGCCTCAGCCTCTATTGCAGGATGTTTCTCAGTATATGAACACACAAATAAGTGCAATAACCGCAATGACTGCGAATACGAGCCTGGAGGAGCTTGCCCATTTGGTTAGATTGTCTACGTACCAGGAAAAGAAGCGTGTCCATTCACGCATTCGTTTGCAGAGATCCCTGGTATCAACAGCACTCTCTGCCCGTTTGGCACGGTGTGGAGAATTGGCACATAGAACTTTGGTTGATAACTTTAGGGCTGACGAGAAGAAAAACTTTGCCAACCTTTATAATGCCATACATGATGTTCGGAACTCATGCGATGCCTCCCGGCGCTTCGCTTTATTGGAGCCTGATTTTGACAATGGACGGTCAAGTATATCCGCTACCGAGGATACAGGACTTATGTTGAACTTCATGCACGAGATTCCCTTACGATCTCGTGAGTGCCTGCTTAATTTTTTGACCCAAATCAGGACCAACTCGGATTATTTAGCTAGTCGTATAGCCAGCCTTACGCCGACGGAGTTGTCGGCCTTGACAAGTTTCCATCAAGGTTTAGAAGCCGTCGATTCTGTTCTGCCCTTTCATACCCGTTCCAAGGGCCATACAGCCAGTGCCCATCGCAATTTTTCGCATATCCCTTCTGCAGTTGAGCGTTTACTTTCTTTTCAGCGTCATGATCCTTTATCTGCCTTGATTCATACTTGTTTTGCAAATTCGGCTGGTCCCGATTCCCTAGAGGACCTTAGGAGAACAGATGTGTGGGCCACAGCATGCGCCAGATTAATTACTGAGAGCAAAAGCGGGACGGACCCCTTTATCTGTAGTGTTTTGAACGTCTGGACCACTATGAGGGACTGGTCGGGACGGGGCAATATGGAATGGTATTTGATGAAAATCCTTGAGGATGGAGCTTTTTTATTGGAGAAAGCCGAGGACCAGGCTGGTACCCGTATACATGTTGAGCCGCGGAATGCAAAGGACTCTATAGCCGCAGATGAATTTTATGATGCAGCAATTCATGGTCTTTTCGGTATCATTGACGACCCAGGTGCTGGAGGTATTCCAGAAGGCTTAATCGAACTTGGTAACGCCATACTCCGAAAACTCGACCCCAAGAGACACGGACCTACCAGGAGATTTTTAGTATCAAAATGGCTATTCTCTGTCTTTTTATTGAATGCAATAATCCACCCAGAGGTATATTGAAGCCCTCCTTAAGACAATTCACCCACTGACACATACAGTCATATGGAATGATGTCAGAATATCACATTACGGAATATGGTAGGCAAAAAATACTGAAAGAGGTTGCGATGCGTGCACAGCGCCTTGTCGTTGATATGACCTGGTATTACTATTCTTGCAGTTGCTAGCCCACCTTTATTAACTCTATCAACAGGAATAAGTCCTCCCCACCACCAGCAATTAAAGCTCACATAGAGAATATCTTGGCACGTTTCCGTTCCGCAAGACCGTCAAAGTCCATTGCAAAGCTGCTTCCCGCAAGGTCAATTACCTCTTTAAGGGAGACAGCCGAGGTGCATCCTTATCTTGTTTTAGCACCTGCTGACCTACTGACCATGGCAAATGCATTGTTTCCGGAAAGACGACCTGCATCAAGTTTCTCCATGAAAGATTCCCATCTCAGTGGCTTGCGATCCGCGGCTTCTTCTGTCTCAGGAATGTCTGCCATATCAGTGCTAATACCGCAGCCGCCTATTCGTGAAAGTTTAGACAGTGCTTCCATCATGAGTAATAGTGGCTCATCCACGATTAGTGACGTAACTACATCAAGAGAGCCCCTACTTAATGAAACATCGATCATACAACAACGAGCATCGTCCATATCAGTATCATCTAATCGTCAAAACCAACGACTTAGTTATTATGAAGACGATGGTTTCGAGCTCCGGGAAGCTCTCCAAGAGATGTCACGTGCTTTAGGTAGCAATACAACCTCCGGGGCATGCCATCCTTGCGCCGAACGATGGACTGTTTTATTCATGACACCGGACGGACAGGGACTGTCAACTCAAATGCTCCATGATGACGACGAAGATGATGAAGAAGCTACTTCTAGCAGTGACACAGATGAGGATAACAATGGAGTTCGTTCAGATCTTGATAAAGACTATCATCAGTTAAGAAGTTCCATTCTTAAACTTGTCGAGGATTATGAAATTCCCGAATCGCTTGACTCGAGAAGTGAATCAAAGACTTTCAGCAATCGCACATCAATTCTGGAGACTCCTCGTAGGAAGTATCACAGCAAGCCAAAGTCATTAGCTCAGATACAATCGAGAAACCCCTATCGCACTCGGGATCAATCTCCAAGAACAGATAAACCTTCTAGAGGGACTGATACTAAGCATGCAAGACAAAGAGCTGAAACAGAGACCGAGCTACCTTCTGTTCTGATTTCTATGCTAGAAGCTGCGGAGTCCCAATGCAAGGCACAGTCTGATTTTATTAACGCTCATCTATACTGGAAAACTCTGAGACAGCTCAATCAAATGTCATCCGCTTCACTGAAGAAGGATGGCTTTGCATCTCTCCTGACTATTCTCTCTAGGGGACCCAGGGACTGCATCCGACGCTCTACCAGTGCCATCGAAGAATACGACGCCTGGCTGGTTTGGCTTAAACAGTCACAAGAACGCCATGATACAACAATTGAATCTATGATGAAACGTCTGAAAGCTCTCCGTGACAAAATGTGGTATGTCACTGACGTTCGGAATTCGGCAGCGTATGAGGGCACTCGAAATATTGCCATAGCTCTGAAGTGCATGGTTTCACCAAAGAAAGGATCCCATCTGGATAAGTCTAACACGCGCTCTCGCAATATCGCGAAACCAGTAGCAAATAATTTTCTTCTGAAGACAGAGGCGCAAGTCATGGACATGATGGCTGCTAATGAGGACCAAGGCGGTCCAAACAAGCTGTCGGACGAGCAAGCAGAGAAGACCCTGAGGTGGCTGTCTCAATTTGGTATCGAAAACTTTTGCAAGGGCGAAGAAAGAATCCATAGATTCAGCTTGGAGATCGAAACGTGCATCAATAAACTCGTTGGAGATAATTTGATGGAAGGGCCTGTTCTCTGGTCTAGTGAGCTTTACAATAGAGATAAACGGATATTGGACAGCGGAAAACAAAAAGGCGATCTTTCTTTCAATAGTTTTGGATCTCTGAATCTGTCCGGGGAAGACTTGACTGATACCGATAGCACACGCCGTGGCCTACGCAGTACAGACTTCAATCGTCCTGGGTTCCATGATCTTCGGGCTATGTCTACCAGGAATAATTCCCAGCAAAGTTTCAGCTCAGGAAGATTCAGCACATTACGGATAAATCCTCCAGGGGATCTTATGGACTCACAGGATTATTTTGGGATGGCAAGTCCTGTATTGACAATAGATTCTGCAACGACTTTCTGGTCACCTCTTCAAACCCGAGCTCAGTCACCAACCACGAGCGTCAGTAGTCATCGCCCAGATACTGCCTCATCTACCAACGAAACTATAATGCTAAAGGATGACCACATAAACGCGGCTAAGCAGCGATTCTTGACAGATTTGAAGCAGACTTTGACGAGTTTGCTACTGAGTGACCTTGGCACCCTCGTTTTTGCTCGTGGGAGCGAGACAGATTCTTGGTTTTCGGGCTCTATAGGTCAAGACTGTATCGAAAGAAAAGATCGCGCAGATAGGAGAGCCAGGAGGAAGAGTAGAAAGCGTGTAATTGAAAAAAAGAAGAGCTTCGGGGATCTTCGCGGAGCTCAAAAGATAGAACAACTCCCAATGGAACGCCAAGACTCTCATGGCGAAAATGCAGAAAAGGGTTGCACGTCAAGTAACAAAAGTCTTCCAGATACTGGAGCTTCGGAAAACCGTTCTACCACGGGAAGTTCTTCCACTAGCGATTCTGTCAGCACAAGGCCTAGGAAGGGTACGATCAGAGCCGCAAAAGAGTCAGATAATTTGGAGTTTCCTTACAGAATGGCTTTTCAGCGCTTATTGCGCATGTTTTCTGTTCATCCCAATCCCTACGCCAAGCTCAACGCGTTGTACGAGCTGGAGCATTTGATAGTAGCATACTTGACACCGTCTACCACGAGGCGGCCTAGAGTGCGACAGGAGCCCGCACCCACTTCCCCGCAGTCCCCGGAAATTTCGCACCACAATGCCTTCGGGCCTACCGATGCCACAACAACCACCCCGATGGCAAAAACTCTTGGAGAAGCGATTGACAATTGCAAAGAGCGTCGGTCCCATGCACTCAATCAAGGAGATAACCCTTCGCCAGCCAACCGAAATACTGAACGATATCCGAGCTCAAATGTGCCAACTGCCGCGAGTACGGATATGATTGTCGAAGTCTTGCAAGACCTGTTCCGCGACGCAGACATGAGGCCAAAGACATTGTTCCGCGATCTACAGTTCATTGCTTCATTTATCCCAGCTGCTACTTTAGACAAAACTGAACGCGGAAAAGCTTTCTGGGACGCTGGACTTGCCGCACTTGGTCTGAAACAAGATGTCTGTCGCACACTCATAGAAATCGCAGATGAGATAGTGGTACATTACACCCAAACCCGGAAGACAACAACCATGGTACCAGACTCGTCGTCTCTTAACGGCGAACTGATGAAATATAGCATGCAAGATGCTGCTAATATGTGGTCAATTACGGCTAAAGAAGGGGACCCAGTGGCAGAGCGAGAACTTGCCATATTTTATCTGACCCACCCTGAATTGGTGGAACGAATTACTGCTCCCCTGAGCAAACCTCGCGAAACTTTTAAAGCACAGGTCATGGAGATGCATCAGGGCAAAGAAGGTGTGGTGACAGAGAGGGATAGAGAGAGGAGCGATCCTGCTACCATGTGTGTTGCCTATCATTGGATGGAGCTAAGTGCACTTGGCGGAGACGAACTGGCAAAGAAATATCTGCGGCAGCGCGAGGAACTGAACGCTATTCCATGAAACATGATTGATGATATGACAGGAATTTTGATATGCGCATATTACTTCGCAAACGAGACCATGAATGAGGCTGTATATACCATTGGCGGAGTTCATTTTCAAATATTTTAAGAGATACCTTTTTCTTCGTCGCAACAGTAATATGCCAATTTCTTTTTTTAGTTCGGCATACTTTACCTCTGTACATAATGCTTCATGCAGTTCTTGAGTATTTGATGCTGGGGTTTTTGTTACCCATCAGCGTATAATGAAAATTTGAAATATGTCACGTGAAATGTCGCTAAGAGTTCATTCTGACTGAGGGTGCTACATGAGCTTGATATTTTGGAAGATGTTGCTATTTGATTTTATATGGTCCGCTCATCATGTTTGGAATAAAAGGTATTCTCTGGCCCACCTTCTCGCACCCTCAAGCCCCGAAATCAGGAAGTTAACCTATTCAGAACTCTCTTTGTGGTTATGATTAGAGTGTATCATGACGGCAGCGCTGAGTATCCCTAAGTGAATATGGGGGTATCGAATTTAATTGTGTTGTACTATCAACCGCCTGGTAGGAACCCTCTGCAATATTTCTAATTCAATAAAACAATCGCAACGCTGTGCCGTTGTGCGCGAGAAAGGAAAACGCGAACAGAAACCAGGTATACCCAACTCAGTTTGAGAGTGTTGGTACTAATTTCAATCCTGTGAGCTCCTTGTGTTTAGTCAACCAAGTTATATGAATAGCTTCATGTAACAAACTGACTCTTCCTAACGAAAACTGCGTTCTTGACTCGCTCTCTTTCCCTCAAGAGCCGATTTCTCTCCTTGTCGAGGTAATGAATTGGCCATCCACCAACCGGCTCGGCCTTTGTCATAAAACTCGTCTTCCACTTAATGTTCCAATCAGTAAACCCAAGGTCGTAGAAGGGAAGGACCAAGTTGAGCTGGGGAATCGAAAGCGGCTTCTTGGTGTTGGAAGGCGTTTGTAGAATAACATCTAAACGCTTGATATTTCGGAAGTGTTGCAATTTAGCTACGAGTTTCTCAATATGCTGAAATTCATGGGTCTGTCGGCAGCCCAAAACAGAAGAATTGATCTTAGATTGGTCCGAATCAGGGATGGAAGGGAAAATAATGCTGACGAACATGTATCTAGCATGGGCAGTAAAGTCTGGGCCGAGGTTATCGATGTACTTGAGCAACATGTCGTAGTCCTTGCGCGGTTTCTCCTCTCCTTCAACTTGAGCATTGACAGAAATCATTTCTTCCTCGGGACGCAAATCAACTTCAATTTCGATCCAATTCTTCGCCCAGAATCCCTCGCGCTCCTTGGCCGGCATCTTGCTAACGGTATCTGCTACATCATAGACACCAGGTTGGAATTCGTCGGCACTTGCATGCTTATACGGATATCCGTTCTCGGTGAAGCGCTCGGTGATAAGAGCGAGGTTCCTAATGACGCCAAGTTGGGTGATTATGATGTCCTTCTTCTTTTTATCTGCGCGACCGAAACGGAATTTTTTTGGCCTGGGGCCAGTGGGGAATGCAACGGGAGATGGTGTTGAAAGTGGGGTCTCCTTCAGCTTCGTCGGAGTGACAAAGGGGCTTGATCCGGTCTTCTCTGGTGTAGATTGGACAGAGGAAATGGAGATAGCATCCATACTATCTCGTACTCGATGGAAGGCTGTCGTCAGATTAAGGCCGTGAGTATTGGTGGACTTTAGCTGGATCCGATTGGCCGGGACGGTACCAGCCTCCATCTTCATTGGCAATTCAGTTATAGCCTTCAATCGGCCAACCTCGGTACAAATTTTGTGAGGCGTTCCTGTCAGTTGTACATGATCTGATAAGTCCGGTGGGTTTTGTGATTTTTCGACTGCCGAAGCTTTCGAACTAGTATCCTCATGGACCTTTGGGTACGATGTAATCTTGACAGGAACGGCCGGGACAAACTCTGGTGAGGTTGCAGATAATGAGTTTGCTACTCCTTTACCCAAGGACTCGAAGTTGGGGGTTATCAATGTTCCCTGGCGGAATGATTTAAATGCTAAAGGACTTTTGGGGCTTGGGGTCGCCGATGCATTTACTGCGGATTCGCCATCCACCGCGGACGGGAATGGCAAGGTTAAGTTTGGTAGGTCAATAGAATTCTTTGCTCGAGCGTTCTTGTTCCCCATGATGTATTGCTTGTGCACGACGAATGGTTGAGATGATATTTCAGAAGTGATTGTGTTGTGTTGGAAGGAAAACTTAAGCGTGTCTAAGGTTGATGGCGTCTTTTCAAGCCGTCTGTGATAGAACTCGCGTTAGTGTAGGACTCGAATGGATATTATATGGAGTGACATCGGAAAGTACATTCGAGCTGGGACAGTCGACTCGGGAGCCTTTTTTGTACTGCTCTTGGTCCACATATAATGGCACAAGGAAAGATCTACCGTAGCCAGGAGCTCCTTCGACGAGATTCTCGGGCCTTCAAGAAATGTTCAGGTGTTTCTTCTAAGTTATGTCCAGTTTGTGTACCTACCGTAGATGAGAGACGGTTCAGAATCTAGATAGATGAGAACGAGACCGTGAGAGGTTGAGGAAGAGTTTTCAAAGACAAGAAGTAAGCGTATTTGACTAAGAATAGGATACGGTCAGTGAGGAAGAGAGTCGTACTTGCAAGGAACAACCTCTTCTATTGCTTTGATTCGGGATTTGATACTGTACGGAAATCGAATAGAGGAAAAATAGTGGATTTGTTGAAGAAATTTGTGGGCTAGTTCAATGGTTGGCAATGTAACTAGCATTGGCGTTGTAAGTTAGGGAAATGAAGTGAATCGATATGTATTGAGATGAAAGTGAATCAATCTCCAATCCACTGCCGCTGTGCCCAAATGTCATATGACCAAGGAATAAGAAAGAAGAAATTTGCCTATCCCAATGGCAAATTTTACGTGTCCAGAAAAGTGCATGGAAAGAGGGGTAAATGTCATCCTATGTGCTGTTGCATACCCAAAAGAGCTATTTTAAAGCTACGCACGTTGCAAATATGCTATATATGTGATAGAAATCAAATTTTCACTTCAAGCACAAGCAAAGTGAGATTTCTATTGATGTGACACCTAAACTCTTTACCGATTTGACAGGTACCCAGAGCTTTGTTGTGACATAATCGGCATATATATCGCAAAATATAAGTTTGTACTCATGACCATCTTTGATTTCATCCCATCTAGTTTCTTCTAATCAGTCCAGAACTTCGTATTATATTCCAGATATGAAGTCCTGCAGTGCTTGGAAAGCTATACTTCTAGAAACTGTATACCTGTATTGACCACTTCAACACATGGTAGTAAAGCAAGAATCAAGAATCTATGATTCACAATGTTGCACTAGGCACAGACTTCTTGAGACATTGTTCTTCGTGACTGTGGTAAGCAAACCTTCATACCTTCATTGTTTCTGTGGTGTAAAGAACAGTAAAAGCAAGCTAGCTGGTGTTGACAAAACATCAAGCACTAGATACCAGAAGCTGAAATGCGAACTGTGACTGTCATCGTCTAGAAAATCGTATTTTCTCCAAAGTCATGATATTTTTGATACCGTTCTATATTTCCCCAGTATTGGTCACATCATGCTTATTGTCATGTCACTATGGGAATCATCCCCAAAGAGCTTCCCTAGTCCACCGACCTCCAGAAATGGCAGGTGGTGAGAGGAGGACGGAAGACCAAACCTCTTGGCCATCAACATAGAGACGGAATTTTAGAGTGCTTTGGTCGCTGGCTGTATTTTCAATTGTGATAGCCCCCAATTTCGAATTACCACCTGGGATGTATCTATGGAAACATTAGCAAATGTCCCACATTAGGAGCCTTCGTGATATATGTTACTTGATTTCAATATCTTCCTCGTCGGATTGCCAATAAGTATGAATCGGCAAATAGAACTGACTGAGAGGACTCGTAGAAAACTCATTTACGGTTGCGCTGATTGGCCAACGACCATTCGAGGGAGGCGGGAAGGCGGTTGCGGCAAATTCATGTCTATCTCCACTGATGACCACAACCCCACAGCCTCCACGGAGGCCAACATCCCACATGGCTTCGAGGATTATCTGGCGCTCGGAAAGGTAACCAGCCCAGGTATCCATACTATTGACTCGCTAAAGGGTTGGTGAGTAAACAATTGCTTAAACTGAAATCGTATGACATCAGGGATAAATAGAAACAATTAAGCAGAGTTGAGAATTGAGGGCTGTTAATTGCAGAATAAATGACACTCACCCAATTTTTGGTGAATGGAATGCTAGATGCTACGATCTTCCACTTGACACCCTTTGGCTCAGGTTTCTTGAGAAATTCGAGGAGATCAGCAAGTTGTTGTGCACCAAGCATGGATTTCTCGCTGCTGTTGGCAGGAAGATCGGAGGAAGAATCTCGGTATGTTCTAGTATCCATTAAGAAGAATGAAGCGGGCCCTTGCGTGAACTCAAAGTATGTAGCACCATATCTAGGTGTATTATAAGTTCCGGCCTGGCGAGCTCGAGGAGGGTTGACGGATGTTTGGTAATGGTGCCACGGATCAGCTGCTGCATCGTAAATCTTGAAGCTTTATGGTCAGCAGATATGCGCCTAAAAACAACAACACTTGCTCAAATATCGAGCCACAAGCAGAACTTCCGATACTCAGGGTTGAGGTGTAGGAACGAGCGCTTCCTGACTTACCCCTGTTGTTTTCTTATCCCAATCATTGGCAATTTCATGATCGTCAAGCACGTGTATCCAGCCTCAAGAAGCTCCAAGTTAGCAATTGAAGTCACTGCGTAGGTAGAGGGACACGGAAATGACACGATGTGCCATCAAAATAGATAATTAAGCCTTGGTTGTACATGGCAATATTTCGGGAATTACTCACTTAAATTTTGCCCAACAGCTGGCCAATCCGGAGAGCTATAGACCTGTCTGTACTCGCGGCGGTAATCTTCAACAGTTACTCCAAATCTCTTCGGAACATCAATGTAGATAAAGTCGCCAAGAAAGAGCATAAATTGGGAACCTCCAGGGATTTTCGTAATCACATCTGCCATATGCTTGAAACCGGGAATTGCCAAAGCGTGGTCAAAAGGGCTGTAAGGAAAGCGAGGTTTGATACAACTAGATGTAAAAAATGTGAAAGATCCCGATTGAGGAAGATGTCCAGGCTTGGGAGGAGTAGTGAAAAAGCCAGTATGGTTGTTTGATGTGGTCCATTGGTAAGTCCTCTCAGGATGATTCGGCAATGAGAACTTCAAAGCTTGAGTGAAGTCAGTGTCTTCCGATAGAGTATGTATCATTCCGGCGAGTTGCGGCTTCGTATTTTCGTAAGCAGCAGCCGGAGTTGCTAGCCGATAAGTGACGGATATGGGAAGCTTAGAGATATCTGGCTCTCGAACGAGTAGATTCGCTTCCGTAGGGGCACTTCCAAACAGTCAGAAATGGTACAAAACAGGAGACGCGGCTCTGTTTAGCGTGGCATGCCAAAGGACATCTCTAGCATACCGAGATGATCCCAGATACTAGGCTGGAATTTTAGTAGTATGCTACGACTAGACGGAATTGTCGCATGTTTTTCTTGGTGGGGGTGTAGTAAACGTGTGGACCTACATGTAGCCCATTCTTGCGAACGATAGCTCTGTGCTGGGATGAAAAACTTTTGCATAATATACCAGGTCAATTGTGGCCAGAACAAAACCCACGTTGATCAAAAATGTCAAAAGTGAGAGCCAGGTCGATACAGGATCAGGCGCGCCTGTTAAAAGTGTGTTTATTGGTCTCGGTGATTTCCCATCTATTATGACTGTCTCCTTAACTTCAACTTGTTCCTCCACATGCTTTCGTTTGTCTGAACCCGATTTATCTTGAGAGTGTGCAGCAGTCGATGGAAGTGTCCGCGGCTGGTTTTCGTGCGCAGTATCAGTAATGATGATTTTGATATCATCGTCTACCACGGTATATGTGTTCCGCGTTGCATGGCTGGCAATGAAGGAGGGGACGTATAGGGCAAAAAGAGTGTAAATAATGGGAGGCCATGGCTAGCAACAAGTGTTAGTGGTCGATATTGGAATTCTGGAGCTATCCCTACTTACATGGCCAGGGATGATGCGGAGAAAGATATAAGTCACAATTCGCAAAGCGATTGAGCTCCAAGTGGCTACCTTTTGCTGAACTGTTGACATGGTAGGTGGAGGAGACTCAAGACAATCTTAATTCACACCAGACCAGACCGAAAACAGAGGGTCAGATAGGAAGGGAATACGAAGGGAAAGAACATATAACAAGAAAGCCACATATATTTATACTTTGCTATCCTGAACTGGAAGTTGCGGAAATAGTTTAAAGAGTAGTAGAGTAAATACAGCATGTATAAGGAACATTTTGGATAGTTTGACTATCACGTGACACATGACACCTGTTGAAGGAATGTTTGTTTCATGTTTAGAACTTTATTAAGTGGGGTTACTATATATATATAAACCTTACGTCATTCAGAAAGAAGGGTCACCGCAGCGGTTTGCCGTGGTGGGATAATATACAGCATACCTAATATATATAGCATAACATAACACAACATAGCGTAACACACCTACCTCAATACAACTAGATAGAGTCTAGGTAATTCCTGCGTAAAAGTAGGTAACTTCTCTTAGTATTACGCAATTACAAAGAGTTTACAGACAGAATAAAAGCTTATAACCTTATCTAATTATCTAATATATGACATTTATCTCTCTAGGCACACACATACCTAGCTACGAGTGCAGGACTTATTGATGACATCTACATTCTGGTTGACCTATCTCCTTCTATCTTTACCTACTCAAAATTAAATCTTTATATTCCCATCCATACCTTCAAAACATATCTCCTAGTCGTTCTCCAGTGCTATTTCTTCGGTTCGCGAAGATTTCCATAAAGCGAAACTCCGAGCTGATTTCTAATTGTGTTACACGGATTGATAATTCTTTGTGTCATCCATTCCACTGCGCATCCTGCTTAGTTGTAGTGCGGGGAAGTGAGAGTTCAGTCCAGTCAGTCCAGACACCTATCAGCCTACTCATTCTAATGGAAAGTTTCTCGTAGGAGTCGCTTTCCATACAGTTGCATTAATCGGTCTTAGATGCTCGCCAGGCCTAGAGCCCTTCTCTCTCAGATCACAGAGTGCAGGGGAAAGTTACAAATTTTCGCCAATTTGATATTTAAACCACGATTCGATCGCAGAATATTTGCATTGGAACCCAACACCGTCGGATATCGATCAACGCATACGAGGCAACTTTCTAACATGGCTACAGCAAACAACATCCATTTGACTACTGAGGACACCGGATTATATAAGCTCAAGTCCCAGGACTCGGAAACGGCCACCAAAACCTCACAGCTATTGCAAGAGAATCATTATGTAGGATCACGCTTTCTCTTGTGACTTTCGTCTTGTAGATTTGGGTTAACACGTCTTTCGTATAGAAACATCATATTTTCTTCAATGCTGAAGGATTTCACAACCACATCGTCCATCACTTGTTGACTCTATATGGCCTTGGTGCCCCAGCATCCGTCATTGAGCGACACTATAAGAATAATGCATCATACCAGCGCCCCTTTGTTCTCTCCGGAAACAAGGTTAGTGCATATTTTGATAAGTTTGTTGATTTTGAAGAGCCTCGATACTGTCAAACACTGGTTTTGTTATCTTAACGCCAAATCTTCAATTGCATAGGGCCTGACAAATTTAGGCTCCCCTTGATATGTCAACGCCAGATAATTTCAACAACCATCTGGGTAAAGAAGATTACTACCGTGACTTTCTGGTGTTCTGGCAGCAAGAAATTGAATCGAAAGGATGGAAGGATGTCTTGAAAGAACACGTGTTTGCCGGTGACGCGAAAGCAAACGACATGCTCGGCAGGATGTTCGCCGGTAGGTGACATTGTGATTGCTTACCAAAAAGAATGTTGCTTATGGTCACCAGGATTTCTTCATCCTATTATCCATCTGGGTTTCGGTATTGAGTTTAACCAGCCAGCCATCATTGCGGAGGCACTAGCGCAAGCTTCTGTCCACGACGACTGGATTACTAAGTATCTTTTAGACGTCGAGAAGAATGCTCAGCCTGGAAATAAGACAATTCCACAACTGCTGGAGGAGATTAGAGCTGATGAAAAGCTGTCTACTGCTGCCGAGTGGAGAGATGGTAATAAAATTCGAGATGGCATCCTGGCTAGAGCTCCAGATGAAATGGTAAAATACGCATCTCAGTGGACCGTAGGAAAAGGTGAGCTTGAAGCCAAGACAGCGCAAATGATGAATTCTGCTGTTTATTTCACTGCCGCTGCCCAACGCCCGCCAAAACAAGTGAGTTATACTATACTTCGAAGATATGCATTGATTGACATTCATCCTTTCAGGTGAAATTTGACTTTTACAATATGCATTGTGTCACCAGCTCGATTTTCTTCACCTCCTTCAACAAACAGGAATTCCTGTCTGAAGCTCAGAAGACCCGGCTCTTGGAGTGGAAAGGGCGTATTGATCTCGCCATGTACGCATCCCGTCGTTCGCCCCAACTCCTTATCGAAGAGATCTCGGGATATGTCCCGAAGCATTTTGAAGCTGGTGATGCGGCATGGGGCGGGCTATTCCAGAGACTCTTCGAATTTGAAGATGATGGGCACGCGGTGAAATTTGGAAGAGCGGTCGCTCATGCTCAGGTTGTTAATCAAGGCTACGAAGGCGAAGATTGGGCAAAGATCAAGGACTTTATGTGGTTAAAGATAGGCAATATGATCGCTGACAGTGTTGAAGATACCGGAGCAACTGTACGCACCTCAAGGAACCACACACCCCATATATTGATGCACAATTTACTGACTTATCCAGTGGGCCAGAAGTGTTGGGTTTGACGAAGCCTGGAGTGATTTTGAGGACAGACCTAGACAGGCACATTTGTGAGTGAATAAGAGTTGGTCAGCTAGGATATAATTCTCTTCTCCTCTCTTGTGCTGTTATCATTGCTTGAGTGTTGCAGATGTGCATGGAGAAATTTGTTTTGAAGAATCTGAACTCTGCTTAACAATAGTAACACAAATATGCAACCTTTCATCTTGATCTTGACATTGTAGTCTTCTATTCTCTATCTTACGCATGCAACAAAACTGTACTCCTCACGGGCTTGAGCTTGGTATTCATTCATCGGGGTTACTTGGTTTTTAAACAGCCTTCTTTTCTAATCTAATACGCCGAGACTATTTGAAGTATTCTGTAGTTATGACAATGTTCGGATAAAGGATCCTGTAAGCTCCGATACAGGGTCATATAGAGACTGGATGTTAGATAGCTAGTAGGTAGGCAGTGTACCTAGTATTTTTTTGAGATTGATCACTGCCTAAAAGGTAAGGTACTTGGTTGTTTGCACAGTAGGTACATTGCTTTGCACCCACTCACTCTTTTGCAAGTGAGACGGCACATTTCCATTTCCACTTCCACTTCCACTTCCACCTCAAGACCAGCCTCAGCCTCAGAGACTAGTTGGTTCGAAAATGTACTCGTCCTCGACCTTGAAAGACAGGAAACCGAGAAGCAATCTATTGGTGATGTTCAATCGGTTCCAAGTCGCGTCACTCGCTCTCAATCTCTCACGCATCTGAGCATCAAACAGAACTTTACCCACTCGAACTCACATGTGAAGACCACAGAAGCTGAATTTGTTAATTTCGATGGCCCTGATGGCCCTACAAGTCCGTTCTTGCCCACCAAATCAAGAAGCTGGTTATATTTTTGTAATTCTCAGTATCGACTTCTGAATTGGCTCTCAAGATACCGGAAACTAGGGGCTGCATGCCAGACACGAAGAGCAAAGTTTCAATCTTAGCGAAATGGCAAATATATTTTTAATGCGACACTTTCGTTTACTACACTCCTATTTATTTTCTCATAGTTTTGTGTGCTTCGTTTGTTTATGGTATCCTGTATTTGTAACTGCAAGTACGTACTAATGGACTGCTAGATGTCTAGCCGCAGTGCCTGTACAGTTCGCACGGGGAGATTATGGCCCAGTAACATCGGTGAGTTAGCCTCTCAAGCGGATAATCTATGCCAAGGGGATCTTTTGCTGATGTCCTCATTGAAACAGGCTCACTTTCTTGCACTTCTGCTATGTACAATGTTCAGCGGCACCGCAAACATCCTGTAAGTCTTCCCAACGCCTCTACCCGCCACATCTACTGAAAGATAGACCGCAGCAACAACAAATTTTTCACCTGCAGATTTGGAGCAAACAAAAATCAGCCAGTCCCCGAAGCCCGTCTTCCCCCAATGATGATCGGCAGTATATTCTTTACTGCGGGTCTCTTCATCCTTGGCTGGACATCCCCATCAACATCCACTGTGAAGCCCCTTGCATTGGGCTCATGTTCATGGGTTTTGGGTTTTTCACCATTTTCTAAGCCGCCCTCAACTGCCCCATTGATACCTTTGCCTCTTGCGCAGCTAGTGCGGTGGCAGCTCAGACATTCGTACGAGCTATATTTGCTGCTTCGTTTCCCATGTTTGTTACTCCGATGTTTCGAAGCTTGGGTGTTGAACGGGGCAGTAGTGTGCTGGGATTTGTGGCAACTGTGCCTATACCAATTTCGTTCTTGTTTTTTGTTTTTGAGGAGAGTATTAGAACGAGGGACAAATTCACCACTAATTAGTTGTGTTGATGCACTCGCTAGACTTAAATGATGGGAACATTTGCCGGGAAGCATCAGTAGTCGATTGATTATAGTCCGGTAGTTCATAGATACTTGATTCATTCAAGATAGATTCCTAGACAACTTGATTGATCATGATTGAGAGTCTGGCGTCCTGTAAATGTTTGAGTCATAATTATGTAGAAAGCTCGATTGCTTGTCGCAGAAGAAGCAGAGAATCCTGGTGCGTAAGAATAGAATACATAAAGATATCTAACCCCAATCCCAATTATGTTCTCGTGCCAAATTTTCCCCCTTCACTCTCCCGTCTAAGTCTATATTATATGTAAGCCAAATTTCCGTGAACGTACGTCCTGCCCCAGAAAATAATGATAAGATACTCAAACCATCACATAGTGCCAAAGCCAAAGCCGAAACCAGAGCCCTTGAGGAGTGAGATAAATGATTGATCCCAAGACCATAACTGTACAAACACATTCACATACCCACGCAAAGCCTGTCCAAGCTTGCCCATAACTCCAATCCAATGCGTAAGCTGTTCACAGCATATTATACATCTAAACCCGCCATTCCTCTTGTGAAAAGTCGGAATGCCTAGCCCCCATCCATCGAAGCACCCTTTTAATCCCCATCACTCGGCCTCCTCATATAGCTATCAATCGCCAAACTAAAAGCTGCAAACCCCGCACACCCGACAGCCGCAGCTTGTGGTCCCGCCGGCGCCGCCAACACTCCCCCGGTTATACATCCCGCGATAACCCCATTTTTCAAATCGTTTTTTGCTCTAAACCCTTCAACACAACATTCCGTGCCTGCGAAAATGGCGCCTACTTTGCCGAAATTCCTGGCCGAGGAATAGGAGCGGGATCCCATATCTTTGAGACCGCGCTTGAGTTGTTCGCGCAGTGGAAGAGAGGTAATCTCTGCAGCAGCGGCGGATGTATGGATTGGGGTGTCGTATTGCATCTGTGGGTGAAGTTTAGTCATTGAAGATGCCGGAGGAGGGGACGCAGCGAGGAACATACGGATGCCATGAAGAGACCAAAGGCGCCACCGAGGGCGAATCCCATTACACCAGAGACGACAGTCTTACCCGGGCAGGACTCCATTATCATTTGCATCTATAATCATGATTAGTACTCGTTCAGTCTATCAAGGTGAGGTCCACCAGCAAGGCTCTGTCTGCCAAAGAAACGCTGAATGTGACTGAAGAGCAAACGTACATTTTTAACAGCAGCAGCGGTCGATGGGTCAACCATTTGCTGGCCCCCTCCTGGGGGATTGAATGCTGGTCCATTCATTTTGAACGACAGTAATTGTGATGTTCTTTGTCACGGAAAGGATTGAGGATGAAGATGGGCTTCCCTTGTGGTGTAATCCGCCGAGAATTTTTTTGGCGAGGCTGATGTTTGGCCTTGCACCACAATCTGACGCCTCGGGATGTTTCTGTTTCTACTTCTCCTTTTCAAATTTCTGGAACATCTCGCGAAAGGAATAATGAGTGAAAGATGCATTTAATGTGTATACTATTAAGGGTACCAGGCAGGTTGGTTTGACATTATAACGATCTTTTATAAAGGGGTTCTTAACACAGATGCAACCTGCTATTACGCTCTGGGCGTCAACAAACTTCCATCTTCCCAATGTGAACTACAATATGAAGGCATCATCATCATCGCTTCATAACATCCAACGCTCCTCTGAAAGCTATGTTTGCTGGTACAGTCCACATCTATTTTTACTCCAATTACAATCATCCCATCCAGAATCTTTTGCAAAACGAACACCTTTCCAGAACAAGTCTATCTCAACCAACCCTTCATATTAGTGCGCTTCATGATCTTCGTCCAAAGTTGGAAAATATTTCAAGATCATGAAGCTTGATATACCGTAAAGTTATTGAATTCCCAATAAGTATTTTTGAAGGCCGTCGCGTTGTTAGCAACGTAGTCAGTGCAAGTACCGGGACCTATTACCTGATTAGTATGGGAAGATTGGACAAGGAGATCAAAAGAAACCCACAATCGATATCATATACACTCTGGGTACCTGCCCAACTTCCACACAAATCAATGTTGACAATTATGCTTTGATTTTTGAAGTGGTTGCCGATGTTACAATCCGTGCTGGGAAAATCCGCAGTAGCCTCTGACCAGGTCGATGGGTCCGGTGTACCGGTTGAGATATCGCTTGGAATAGCATCTCGTCCAAATTGCCACAACCGTATACCTGCGGTACGTAATTCCATCGCCATAATACCACCACCATTTGAGTTGAAATCCGCGCCGAAGGTCCCTGAAGAATCATGTACACCACATCCAGCATTTCCATTCGTGCTATTCAGGCATGAAGATTGAAGGGCCTTCCCAGTCTCTTTACGCTTGACATCCATGGAGCATCCGGAAGTGGTGTGGAGGGTCATTTGATTCTTGGTGGAGCTCACAACATTGACAGCCTCCATGATATCGATCTCTCCATTTGTTGGCCAATTGTTTGGATCACTTAGCCAGAGTGCAGGCCATGTAGCACAGCCGACGGGTGTGTGGACGATATCGAAGATGAATAGGCCATTGGTGTATTGTGTCTTGGACTCAATCCGCACCGAGAAGCGACCAGTAGATGCATTTGGGATGCTGTCAGCTGTGACAGATGTGTCGACTCTGATAACTGCAGAACTTGATGAAGCATAGGTCAGATTGTATTGAGCCGCTACTTCGGAGTCTACATAATGAACGAAACCCGCTGACGGATCGTATGTATTGAAGTAATCGAAGTTATCGAAAAAGTCAGTTCCCGAGTCTTAACTAGATGTTAGCAAGCACGCAAGAATATGATTATATCGGTGAATCTCTGTTTACACAATCCTAGAGGCAAGCCTGGAAATATTACTACTGCCCTTGGTACTAATGAAAGAAGCTTGCTTCTCTGAACGCCCCAGAAATGTCGGTACATTGGAAGTTGTCATCCATGAAACATAGGGCGAGAGAAGACAACTCACAAGTATCCTTCAGCGAATAGCTCAGCTGTGAGTAGTTTGGATAAGTATTCTTCTTCGAAACTTCCACAGCAATCACCACCACGATGATGATGAGCACAACAAGTCCCACGCCAACAATGACCCATCGTTTCTTACTCCACGCCCTCACATCCAACCACCGTGGTGCCAAAGAACTTGGATCATCAAGTTCATATTCGGGTGGCGGGCCCCTCGGCATATCCGTGTTTTGCATCTCTGCAATGGTATAAAGCTTCTATCCAATGAATGCTTATGTTCCTTCTATTCCCCACGGTCCCTCAAATCCAAATGCGAGTTTTGAGTGAGTGTATCGTTTTAAGGAAAGGCAATCAAAAGCTATTTCATTTCGATGTGCGTGACTGGCTTAGGTGACCTACAAAATTACGAGCTGTAGTTGATTGAGGACTGCAACACCCCGTATATACCTCGCCTGAGCAGCTCATTTTTATCTTATCTAACCAACCCCGAGAAGAATGGAGACTGAGAGACGTGAAAAGCACTCGCAGTATGCCGACCTATTAATTACCCTGTAGATGTTTTGCTAGAAATCAGGTACCTAGAAGGGCAAGGGTAATAGGTGTCGGTGGATATGCAGGCTGACGACTCTCTCCGTGTAAACATGGGTTGACGCGGACACATACGAACGAATGTAAGGTCATCGAGTAGTAGTTAGTTGCACAGCTTAGGGAAGGATAATTCCGATTTTAGATGATTCGATTTGGGAAAGAAAGAAGAACGTCACTCAACCTTTGGACTCTGGAGCACTTAGTATGCAATTGAAATGAAAGTCGATTGATCTCAAATGTGACATGTGATATGAATATCAAGCTGTGGTCGTAACCAAGCGGGAAAACAAGGGGATATCCTTTAGACCTACGAATTCACCATTCACGATTATGCCACCCTGGCGCTGTCGTGAGAGTTTCATGTTCATGTTCATGTTCATGTTCATGTTGTTAGAATTAGAAGAAGAAGAAGAAGAAGAATTGTTCCAGTCTGTCCTTGTCAATCGTAAAGTTTTGTTTCACCGCTTTAGTTCTGCCATTCGTCAAATCATTTTACCTTCACAGCACAGCATTAAAATTCAAGGTGGTGCATCAAACTTAGAAGTCATTTTGAGATTCATTGAACAAAAGCTGGGCAGGGCAGGCACCAATACGATAGGGCAGAAAAAAGGTTATCGGACATCGGACATCGAACCAACTTGTCGATCATATATCTTAATAATACCTAGCTAAGTAACTAGAATACAGCATGATTTAAGAAAGGATCATTCGTTAAATGAAAAGACGAAAAGCGAAAATCGAAAATCAAAAAGTGAAAAAGTGAAAAGGCGAAAAAGCAAAAAGGCGAAATAAACAAAAAGAATAAAAATACCAGGGGCCATTTAAGGTTTAAAAAGTTTATAATAAATTAAATATTAAATATATATCAGGGTGTAGACAGAATATCGGCTTGTTTTAATAATTGAAAATTAAATTATTTTATTTAAAAATAATAATTATAATATAATTTAATATTATTATTTATGATATTTAAAATAATAATAATGTTTTATATTATTATTATTATTATTATTATTATTATTATTTTGAATTGAATAAGATGAATTGAATGAATGAATTGAATGAATGAGTTGAATGATTTTAGAGTTGAATGAATAGAGTTGAATGATTTCAATTAAGTTGAGTTGAAAAAAGCTTTAGATTTGTTTAAGGTTGTAAGGCTTATGCCAAGCTTTTTGTTAGATTATTTACCGGGTATTTACCGGGGTATTTTAGACCAATCAGATTGTCAGGGTCGCGACTCACTTAAGCGAGTTTCTCATTTTCCATCACCCATCAGATAAACCTCGTGTATAACAAAGTTATAGTGTCGGCAAGCCGACAATTATATATAGAGTATCGAGAAGAAATTTAATTTCTTTCTTCTTTCTTTTTCCTTTTCTTTTTTCTTCCTCTTCCTCTTTGGCTGATCCAAAACCACTCAAGCTTATTAGAATACAGATAAAATTCTAACAGTCAAGGGAACGTCATAGTAAACTTTGCACAAATTGCTATCGCAGAGACGGGAACCAGCCGCGTAATCAAATGGACAAAAATTTATTAGTGACATCCCTAGGTGATAACTAACCCAGTGTTGTCGTAGTTTAGCATGCAACTTCTCTAGAGGAAAACGGGTACAGCAAAGCCTCAATATGAAGGAAGATATCCTTTACTTTCGATACATGTGTACGCCTCTAGTTTAGGATGCCAAGGTAATTTGGTACTTTGGATATCAACCTAATCGCTTATGACTCGGGATAGACACGTGGAGAACTTCGGTATGTGAAGACACACAAGATACTGCGCCATTCGATGACCCGGAAATCCGTCTGTCAACATGAACGCCTGGCATGCATTATACCCAGTTTGTCCCCAACCTGCTGTCTATAGATACAACCCCGTCCATGTATTCACGTGACCAACTGACCCTCTAATCATCATCCTCATCCATCCTCGCCCGTTTGTGGGACCTTTCCTCGCCTTCCTCTAACCCATACTCTCTTTTATTAGAGCTTTCTCCGACCTTGTTCAGGAAATCATCGACATTGAAGACGTCCCCAGTATCCTTCTCAAACTGCACCGGGCCCTCCCTCGCCTGTTCACACCTCATGTTAGCTTCACCCCCAGTTACAGTGAAGGAAATTGCTCACCTCAACATCTGCTGCACCTTTAAAGGTCCCTTTACCAAGGGCATCACCAAATCTATTACTTTTCTGTATCTTCGCCATCTCACCTTCAGCTGCCGCCTCATCATCGTCGTCATCCATATTTTGCCGCGGTCGATAAATACTGCTGATAGCATCTTGAGCCGCGAAAAGGGGTTTGTCATATGCTTGATCCTCGTTGAATCCACTATCAAAACCACTCGTCCGGTTGAATAATCTGGAATCAAACATGGTTTCCGCTGACTGTGTGGGCTTTGCCAAGCCTAAAGCGACCTTCTCCGAAATGTCTCGATTCTGCTCTCGTGCCATCATCTGAATTCTCCTTTCAGTTCCCATGCGCGACTGTCGTAATTTTCGTTCTTCATCTCTGCGCTTTTCTTGACGCATCTTTTCTCGCTCTCTAAGTTCTTCGTCATTGCTATTGGATCGCTCAGAATCAGAATCACTGTAGCTCCCTGAACGTGACCTTGATGACCTCGAATCTCGTCTTCTGGACCCAGCGCCGGCCCCAGCTCTCTCCTCTCGCGCCTTCTGTGCTAAAATACGCAGATGATCTTCCTTTTGTGCCTTCTCCTTCTCCGCCAGCCTTTGCTGCATCAGTGCTCTCTGCTTGACCTCCTCTCGCGCATGTCTGTCTGCCGTGAAAAGAGCCTCTGCAAATTGTGCAAATTTATCATTGATAGTGACATCCTGCAGTCCCCTCCCATCTGCAGCTAACCTTTTGTCAAGTGGAACCGTGTAGCCCTTGGGGTTTTTCCAATTCGAGACCGGGGGAGGTATCTTCCAAGCTTCTTGATCCTCTGCTGTCAATTTCCGAGGGGGCGAATGCATGACTGGAGCCGGAGGACTTGGCGGACCACGGGGAATTTTCTTATGTTTGAATTTGGGAGGTTCCATAGGGTCCTGCTGCCTTTCCACAATCTTCATAATTCGATCATTCTTCCTCGAATTATCGCCCATTTGGTTCGCAGGCGTATATCTGACGTAGGTTGGATCTTTTCTCGCCCCAACATTGACGTTCTTGGGTTTCTGCGCAGCTACCGCGCCACTGACCAGAGTTGCCAAGGCATTCTTTGTTCGTTCTGTAGAAGCTGCAACTTCCTCCTCACTCGGCCTATCCAAATTAATATCTCCCGCATCAGCTCGTTGTCGAAGAGGTATAAGGTCCTTGAAAGATGCGTGTACTATTCGTTTGTCGTTATGGCCTTGTCGTGCTATTGCATCGTACTTGACCTTCCCCTCGCCATCGACTTGAAGGGCCAGCGCATTATTTGATGAAGTAGATTTGCGTCCCATATCCAACGGATACTGTGCAACGGGAATCTCTGGAAAAGCACCCCCGTCACCAAAGTCTTCCTGTCCTCGCGGCCGCCATCCTGTTCGATTACCGTATGGTGGAGGTCCAGACTTCTGCAAAGCCTTGTTAGAAAAAGCATCCCATTGCTGAAAATCCAAATTACTAACCTTTAAAACAATTTGGGTGTCATCCAGAGCGCCTGCGCCCAAGATTCGAGGACCTCTCTGCTGCGCATGCTGTGGAATCTCCTCTTCTTCACCTGTGTATTTGGGTTTTGGCAATGCCCGTGTTAAAGATGTTGCCATTGAGGCGATATTATGCAGACAACTAGAATGCAGGTGTGTTGAAGTGATTTGGAGATGGAAACACGAGATTGAACTAGTTTTAAAGTTGCTTTTGCCGGCGTATCGTGAATCGACTAAATGTTCAAATTGTCGCGATTCTCATCCATGTTACGTCACGCTAACTAAATAAGTACTAGCGTATTCGGAGTATAGCAGCTTAAGCTCTGGGAAAGCCAAAATGGCAGGTCATGAAATGGACATAGGGGAAAATGCAACTCGATGAATTGACAAGACAGATATCTAATTAGATTATCTGGTATATTAAATTGTTATAGTTGTCATATTTTTATATCGATATATTGCTTCATGAAAGAGAATCATTTCATTATCTGATTGTCGTGTGTTTGTATCACTTATTATGATTGTATGAGGTTTTGGAGAACATGCATAATCAATTTTACCCATGGCATGGTTGCGATAAACATGGAGATGGAGTAACACATTTAATTAACTCGAATTTGATCATGTTGGGCATCATTTTGTTAAGTGTATAGTACACAGAGACCCGCTCGGGACTCGGACACATTTCAATCATCTTCGATCCCGTCCCATACTGAATTCGTTCACACGTAGCCTTTCCTGGCTCCCTAATCCCTCTCGTTAGAATATCTAGAGGTATATGAAAGCTGGAAATACGCACCTGGAAGAAGAATCGAACAATAAAGACTTGTAAGGCTGCCATACACATCATCATCAAGCTTTCAATCACACTGAAATTGAAGATCCTCCTTTCCGTACTCCTCACTGTGCTGAAGTTTCTGTTTTCTCTTGTGCGGAAGTATTTCTGGTTTCTCGTGATGGTAGATAGCTGGCCTGAAAGTTTGAAGATAGACTCCTCCAACGCCGAAGTCTGCTCGGGAGTTGTGCCTTGTTTTGAGGGTATGGAAGCTCGAGGCTCATTCTCAACCTGGGACAGCGATAGACATGTCAGTACCGCCCTGTGTTGATAACTCGTGAAGGACAAAACCTACAGCAATTTCAAAGTCGACAAACTTTTCCGAGAATGTACTCATTTGATTGTTGAAGCAAAATCTATATTCTCCCACCTCCGTGGCTGTGAAGACGAAATCGCCCTGTCGCTCCTTTTCTTCCTTCATGATAACTCTCTCATTTGGACCCACGACCTCATAATCCACATCGAAAGAGCCTCCAGCTTGAACCTGTAAGATATAATATGTCAGAGGACGTTTATGCGAATATCGGAAGTGAGGTGCACCGTACAGCAAAGTAGAAAGCTATTTTGGCACCTTGTTTGTCAACATTGGAATAAAAGCATGCCTTTTCATTGGCGCTAAGCTTATATGTGAGTGCAGTCGCAGATACAAGGGGAGAAATGCATGCCAAAAGGCCGCACCAAATTAAAGACGCCTTCATGGTCTGTTGTGTGGTTGTGATGGTGGTGAACCTTTTACTGAACGCGCTTCTCGAGATTGTTGCTACCTGTCAGTCGGGTGATCTTCGGGTCATTAGATCTAGCCAGTTAGCTCCTCCTCCCTTACAACCATCATATCAGGGGTGGCTGTTGTCTTTTTCAATCAACCTATGTCGCCGATCTACAATTTCAAGATCTGGTGAGTTGCTTCGGAAGGCTGATTTGGAAGATTTCAGTGGAATACGCATCTGGACGCTCATTATTTAGGTTACAAAGTAGCTAACGTCATACTAGAAGAATATTTGCATCAAAGGTACCATGGTCTTCCCATCGTCCTCGATCATCTAATCGCTAAAATGAAGTTCTTTGGCGACTGATTATGTTGCATAGAAGAAATTGACTTTCCTACCATGCCCCATTGTCTACATAAGACCATTGCCTATTTTCCCACCAACCGATAGCGCCATGCAGAAAACCTCTCATAAGCAATGCCAAAATCTACTTCAAAAATAAGTCTCCCATGCCAGTCCTTGCGTTTCGAATTTTGTCAATGTGATCTAGGCCGAGCTGATCATCGTCATCCCGAAGCATATCCCATAATGTATCGTCTGTGAGATGCTTAGTACGGTGATATAAGTCTCTTATGGGTCACAACTTACCATCATTTAAATATGTAGGTTTTGTGTAAGAGCTCCTCTTCACGACAGCAAATTTTATCTTATCGAGGTTTTTGCCCTTTATCCCCGTCCGTTTTTCCAATCGCTTTTTAGTGTCGGAAAATATTTCATCCTGATGGTTGTCAGTTGTAACACACCTTATCAAGTAGAGAAAAGGCTTACTTGAACGATGAGGAATTTGAATGGAATGGAATGCACTTTATTCGGCTCGCCCTGAAAGTGAAATGCATAGATATATTGAGTTCCGTTAGGTTGCGCTAATTCCTCTTCCGGTATTCGCTCCAGCATAATGTGTATGTACTCCGTGATATCCTTGACTGGATAACCACGAGGAAGCTCTTTGTGAATCTTGTTGCTGTGGACTTCGTATACTCGGATCGGACCACCCTTTTCTTCATCCTCCAGTTGGGCTTTCTTGATCACGGATGAAACTATGTCATCCACAGTTCCAGTTTTAGGCACAAGTATGTCAAGTTGTTCCTGCAATCAATTAATACCTGCAAAAAGTGAAAACAATTGTCTCAATACGCTTACCTCTTTTGTGACACCTTCGCTGATCCAGCTAACCTTCATTGATTTCTTGGTATCTAACTCGGCCAGACTAATATCAAGAACCTCGAAATATAAAGCGTCTGCTCTTATAGTAGCACCAGCAAACGTAGCGTAACTAGTGCTGACCATGTTGAGTAAAGTTTGGTTTGACATGCGCCTGATCGCTGTTTTAGGATTGCCTGTATTTTGAGCGATGGTCCAGAATCTGATATAATTCGGGTCAACATCCAGCTTCTCTCCTACTTTAGCGGCCACCTGGTCATAAGTATGCTTTGCACTGAGTACTAGGGTGAATGACTCGCAATTTTCGGAATTAAATTCTTTGCTGCCTCTAGTCGGATGGCAGTGGAATGTAATGAGCCTTCTATGACGCAGGAAATCGTAGTACTGTCGGGCATCTTCTATGATATCAGATGTTTTAACAGGCTGGTAGCGTGGAACCGAGCCGTTAGAGGGGGTCTCCGAGGAATAGCTTATGGAGGTGGTTGATTTTGAGACATCGCTGCTACCGCTGCAGTTAGCTTTCATATGCCATTTCATATATATCGATCAAGAGACTCACTCAGGGCTTGCACCTCGGCCGGTTCCGCCTTCAGAACCCTTTTCCAAAGCTTTTTGGAAGCAAACGATATCGCCATCCTGGAGTTCTGCTGCCTTGAGTGATTGTTTCGCTTTCATGGGTTCAATCATGTCAGGTTTTATCTCCTATTGCCATGTCAGGAACAGATGATAAAATGTTCAGTACCACGAATCTTACCTCGTATAGTTTCAGTTTGGTATCCTCGGGCCATCCCATGCGTCTTAAAATGAACGGAGCTAATTCTTCAACTCTCTTTTGATTACTGATATAAATGTGACCGCACCCAACTAGACACTGGGTATCAACATTGAACCATTTAAGAAATATGACAATTTCATCGGATCTGTTAGGGGACGATCCTTCTTTTGCCAACTGATACGTTGGCCACACTGCATCACCGTTGGAGTCGACCGTTTCTGCTGTTTCGGCCCACAGTCGTAACTCTTGTGTTTTACTACCGGCTAATTTCAAATGCGCATCCTCAATGGTTTGATTGAAGTCCATAACAGGCGTGTCCGGTCTTGTCGTTTTGTTTTGGCGATTGACCATGAACCAGACTCGTAACCTTCTTGGGTCAACTCCAGTATCCTGACCAATCACATTGATAAGCTCTCTAATCGTGCACTTTTTGAGGAGTTTGTAGGATTTAGCAGCCGCGGGATCCTCCTCATGACTCCGATCGAACATAGTGAGATCATGCCCACCATGAGCTGCGTACGTGTCACTGGTGATCACTCTGACGGTAAGATACAGGTGTTGTTCTTCACGTTCCTTCCGTCGTGCTTCTTTGAAAGCAGCCTCCTCTTCGAGTTTTCTTTCTGATCGATATTAGTTGGGCTTCAAGCAGGATAGGATGTAGAAACTTACGGAGATGAGCCGGTGTATCGGCATTGGTGACAGGGAACAATACCTCATCGAGCCTTGCTTCACGGATATAAACAAGCATGTATGCGCTGTTATGTCGTATGATAGGTTTTTGCGAAGCGTCCAAAACTTGTCCGTTCAGTAGGGGCATCTCCCCTCCATAATTATCCTCCAAGACTTCTCGCATCGTGGCCTTGGTTACTTTGTCATCATCGTATTTGTAAAACCATCCATCTTTTTCCGGCTTGATGAATGCATAGTAATGCCCTGCATTGAGGTCTCCGCTGTGTACAAGGACCCCGTGCAACTTATACACCCAAGATTCCGATTTGTCGGCATCATCCGATAGATATGGTGCGGCATCAAAAGTTTCTGGAAACTCATAACGATCATTAACCTTCATCATGGAATCTCTCTCAATATCATACTCGAATCTTTTGAGCTGCAAATGCAGAACTTCGGGAAACGATTCGAAAATGACGCCTTTCTTCGCATCTTGGAGTTTGAAATTTTCACCTGCAAAATACTGGTTGTCGCCATCCATGGTCTCGACCTGAATATAATCTTGGAAACTCTCTTCGATGTTCTTGTTGCCGCTAACATTCAACTGGACATCCCAAAAGTCTTCCACTCTGCGAGATTCGTAGTCGACATTAATGCAGGAGATGTACGTTCGCACTTTTCCACAGAACAATTTAGGAAGGACGTTTTCAGCGGCAGTTCCCTTCATCTTTATTTCCATGCGCTCCATCAATTTCCTAGAGAGCTCTTGGACATCTTGCTGTTCGAAAATCTGTTTCGTATCCCAGCCAAAGGACTTGGTAAGCTCGTTGGTACTCACGGCCGTGGAGGAGGATTGCAACTGATAGAAAAGACGTTGTAAAGTATATGCGCTGTTTGTCGTAGTGTCCTCGTCTTGTGTCGGAATTTGATATACTGCCTATTAGGTGTTAATATATATTTTTTTGTCTTAGCCAGTCCACAATACGCACCTTTCGAAAGGCATTAGTAAAATACAGGGACTGAATGAGCGAGTTTAAATAACAGGTCGCTCCTTGATTTTTCAACCCAACAAATCCAGTTTCTTTCTTCGAATCGTAGTTGGCGAAATTATGCCATAAAACGCCAGTTTCGTCTTCGACTACTCTTACATACGCCGTTATATTTGCTTCTCCATTCTCAACCAGAACCCTTGGAGGACTAGAGCCGGGCCATACATGGTGGAAAAGCTTGCGGGTTTCATGGAATCGTGTAAAGCCCCAGTCCCCTTCATCCTTGGTAAATCGATGGTGTGCGGTATGATGGGTGTAGAGTGTTGGATCATTCTTGTTCCATAAAACCAGGCCGAACTGTAAGCAACATACAAAATCGTCCGGAGGCTTTCCGTCTTCAAATCCATGCTCCAAATAGAAGGACACGTTATCGGTATTATTTCCATAGGGAAACATTAGGATACGCCTAACCTGATCAGCAATCATTGCGCATTTGCATTGTGTATTCCAGATGGTTACCATGGATATCCTCCAGCCTCAAAAATAGGGCCATGTTCCCTTTTGGAAAGTCCATGCCAGTTTTTAATCTCCCAAGTATTGTGAACCGTCTCTAATATCGGAGGCTGTTGATCTAATGGTGGCAATACCAGCTCTGTCATAGCTTCATCTATTTGCACACGTTAGCTCAGTATCCTGAACCTTCCATGGTTGATTGCTCGTACAATCATCAGCAGGCGTTGGCCTTGGTTCGTCCGGATCTATGATGGCAATCTCATCCTTCTCGTTATCCGATGGGTCGACATACTCGTCAGGATCGACAATCATATTCTCGGGTGATTGTATGTCTTGATCGAAAGACTGTTTGCGTAAGTAGAAATCAGTACGAGGAGCCATTTTGGCGCAGGCAATGCTTGCTACGTGAAATAGATATGGGACATTGAAATCATGGGAGGGGTGGGTGGAAGTGGGGAACACTCAAGAATCTTTGCTTACAGGATCCATGGTCGCGGTAGACAGCAAGTACAACCAGCTTACAGACTCTCCAACGTCCTTCCCAGGTGCACAAGACAAATAGGAAAGAAAGTAAAGAGGAAGGAAGAAACTAAAAAGAGATGGCGGTTCAGAGCCGAGCAAAATGAGGAGAAGGAAAGAGAGGATGTATATTTAAAGCGATGGTGATGACCTGCAACTTGTACACTTTGAAAAGAGTGAATTCAATGGAGAATGGCTTCTGAATCTGTGGTGCGAGATGGGAAGCTTCAACGTTGGTTTGTGTTTTTGATGGTAGTAGCGGCGGGAAAGTAGTAAATATCTAGGTAATGGTGGTGATAGTGATGAGTGAGTTCCTTCGTTCTTGCCTTGTCAAGATAGTTAAGATAGTAAGATGGTAAGACAGTAAGTATTCTAGTTAAAAAGTAGGTAGATAGGTAGGTAAATAGTTATTTACTTCTCTGGGTCGTTCTTCCAAATTGCCAATAATGCAAGCTTGAGTGGATTCTTGAATGTGGGTTGAGAATCGCTTGTGGTCACAATGAAGTTGTGGCGTAAGTAGGTAAAATACTGCGTACCAAGCAAGTAACCCAGCAATGACGTTTGGTTTGGTTTTTGGTTTTTGGGTGGTGATTGATAGATGATGCGATGTGATGGGATTTTGATCTTTGATAACTTTATCATGAGTACTCGATATTTGTTATTATCATGAATTGTTATTATTATTATTGTTTGTTTATACCTCTTCAAGTACATACGGAAAGGCCTCATGCACATTCGTTTTCAAGGACAAAGGTCGTCGAAATGATTCGCCCTGTTGAGCATAACAATGTTAGAATCCGGTGAATTAATCACATCTTTACATCTGCTCGACTATGAAGTTCGAATGACTCTGGCCAGTTTCTTTCCTTCCTGCCAACTTAAACATGGCTGAGTAGTGTTAGACCTTCATCCGCGCTAAATACCTGCCTATATAGCTAGTCCCTGCTCTCGCTAGTCCCTGCTCTCGCCGCTTAATTGCAAGTCCTCGAAGCAATCATTCCTCCATGAGCGAGAGCTGGATGGAATCGCTACAACATAAAATCAAACCACAAATAAAACAAATATCATGAGGTCTAATATTTGCAAGATGGAGGGTTCGAGTGTTAGGTTTTACAAAAAGACACAATGGATTAGTGATATTTGTTATCCTATTCGCTGATAGAGAAGCAGTATATAGACAGGAAACAGGCAATGTATATACCCAAGTATCCAGGTAGACCTCGCCGAACGTTTATACCGAGTCGATGCATATGAAAAACATTATATTATGATTTGCCCAGCTATTCTATGATATCATGTGAAGTTCGCCAACTTCAAAAAGCAAGAATAAAAGCAATGGATATATGGACGCTCCAAATTACAAATTACAACGAAAGAATCTCTCCTTAGACAATGCCCCGGCTCTCCTCGCACCCACGATATTACAACTTTCAAAAGAGGCCAAGGACCGTGCCGCCATTTTGAGTCTTCTACTCAGACTTTGAAACATCGCCCCCAGAGTATTTAACTGTGAGACCACTTTCCAAGTCTTCACCTTTTCCTCCGTATTCCTTGGGCAACTTCTCGGCAATACCAGGAATTTCAGCACCAAGATTAGAACCGTAGCTGAGTGGATGAAATTTTTTGATCGTGTCGGCGCTCAAAAAGATTTTCATAGCTGTGAATACCCAACCCATGACCATGGGAACATTTACAAAGAACTTTTCTTTCAGTAGCTCAGGATAGGCCATGCTGAATGTCTGGATTGTCTCTTTGGATGCAGCACGGATACTTGGATCCATTCGTAGGAAACTGACATTGAGATAATCGTGGACCTGGATCATACGATATGGATCGGGACCGTTCTCGGGAATCTTTTCTGTTGCTGAGGCAAGATCTAACTCTCTGATGGACAGTTCCATAAGAGCTGCTCTCCAGCTCAGAAATCTAAGTCGCAAGATCAATACAATGTCAACACCACAGCTGGTAGGTTACTCACTCAGGCACGTCACTGAAAGTCTTCTTTATATCCTTCACTGCCCCGTAGATGTTCCATGTGATGACTTCTTTGCCGCCTTCGCTGGTAGGATAGGATGTTACATATCCCAATTTACCAAACTTGGCTCTATCAAACTCAGTATCCTCCAAGACCTTTTGTGGTTGCATAGTCTTTCGCCATTTTAGAGCCTCGATCAATTGAGCTTCGGCTTTGGTTACATCTTTTGTATTTGCTCGTAAGAACTTCTCGAGTACTATACTTGTTTGGACGTGATCTTCCGATGGATCAAGTATAATTCCCCACATCTCATTGTGACCAGCTACTTTGAGGACTTCCGGCAATTCTGAGAAGAATTTGGACAAGGGGGAGCCATCATGCGTTTTAGTAGTCTTGTCGAACGAGACTGAGGGTTGGGAGGTTGAAAGCGCTTTCTCCACACCGGCATCTTCTGTAGATTCTACTCTGGCGGCAGCTTCCGCGTCGGCTTCTTTAACAGATTCTAGCTTGACGGCTGTTTCTTGGTGTTGTTCCGTAGCGGGTTCCGTGGGCACTGACTTAGTCGCTGATAGCTCCGTAGTTATAGGTTTTGGTTCTTCAAGGGCTATTTGTTCATTTGACGTTTGATCTTCAACCTTTACCGGTGTTGACTCTATTGTTGTAGGTTTTAGGTCCTCGACGGTTAATGGTTCTGGCTCCATGACTGTAGTTGTAGCTTTTGCTTCAACAACCTCCTCTGGGACATTAGCCTTTGCGATGTTTGTATCGACCTCGGCACTCATTCCTGGGATCGTTTGGTCATTCAAAAATGAATGAATGATCTAATTACTACGCGATTAAAAGGTAGTTGCTGCCAAAGTCTTTCTGTTTGTTTTGATCTTTCTGGCCGTAGCTTATTTGTCCACCTACCTACTCGAACTCCGTACACCACAGCATTCATTTATTATTATTATTTTGTTAACTTCCGACGTACCGACGCTAATCGACCAAGCCAATCAACACGGGGCTGAGCTTCAATAGGTAAGATCTCGTTGCGGAGTTATCGTAGATAGATAAGATATGAGATCTCGAGTACAAGGTAGGTAGTAGGGAAGTAGGTAGAGTAGAGTATTTGGCCCACCATCCAACCTCTTTATTAATTTCTTTTCTTCTTCTTTTTCTTTTCTTTTCTCTTCCTTCCTCTCTCGCTCTTGCTCTTCCTCTTCTCTCAAACAATACGATGACGAATAATTTTTTAGTATCCATTCGGAGTTTTGCTAGCTATACCACTTTTCTTCTGGAACTAAAATTGAATCCTTGTTTATAGGTCTCTGATGTTATCAAAGTGTACAACACGATAATGAGGTGGCTGGGACAAATATATAGTATATCTTGCAGCCTCACATACCCACACCAGTATGTACAGAGTAGCTAGCTGCATGAAACGGTATCTTTCCACATTCACTTCCGCTGAAGGATACCTACCTACTTACCCATATATATTTTTCCCATCATTCGACAATATTTTAAACGCACAACGGTAACTACCCTTCGGCGACAATTTGGCGCTCTTCTTGGTATTCGTCTCCAGCCTCCAAATAGATCGATCACTGATCTAAGCTGTTGTGGGACAACAATTGTCCTTCTGCAACTCGCCTTTCATCTTATCTACTCTTAGAGAGATGTTTCCCAAACTTATTCTCACCGCTGCAGCAGCATTCTTGTCTGCTAAAACAACCTTTGCACAGACTTACAGTTCTTGTAATCCATTATTCACAAGTGAGTAGCTTCATCTCCTTACTTTGGTGAAAAGTCTTAACTAACCTCACACCAGCCAGCTGTCCCGCAGACACTGCCTTAGGAAAGTCTATTGATGTCGACTTCACTTCTGGATCAGTAGATGCCTTCACTGGCTCCGGTGATATCTCATATGGCTCCAATGGCGCTTCGTTCACAGTATCCAAATCAGGCGACGCACCGACCCTTTCCAGTATTTTCTACATCATGTTTGGAAAGGTGCAGATCACAATGAAGGCAGCTCCCGGTGCCGGTATCGTGAGCACATTGGTACTGCAATCTGACGACTTGGATGAAATTGATATGGAATGGCTCGGAGCGGATGACACCGAAGTACAAACGAATTATTTCGGCAAAGGCAAGGTCACAGATTACAATCGTGGAGCCTTTAACCCCGCTCCAAATAACCAAGGTGAATTCATCACTTATACTATCGAATGGACTTCAGAGCAGCTCGTTTGGTCGGTAGGTTCTACCGTCGTCAGAGTTCTTACACCAGCTACAGCCGACGCCGATCAATACCCGCAATCACCAATGCAAATCAAGTTCGGTGCATGGTCTGGAGGGGATTCATCGAATGCCCCGGGTACAATTTCATGGGCGCGTGGTCCAACCGATTACTCTGATGGACCTTTTACTATGGTTGTTCAGTCAATTGACGTTAGTGATTATTCCACCGGTACACAATATAGGTACGGAGACGAATCTGGAAGCTGGACATCAATCGAAGTCGTCGGCGGGTCAGTAAATGGCAATGTGCCAGCCTCAGCTTCAGTTGTACAAACTGCTGGTGCTGCAGCTGTCACATCCAGCTCCCCAACTATCCCAGCCGGAATCAATAATGGTAACTCGGCCACCCGAACTGGGTGGCCTTGGGTTGCCGGGACGCGGACCGTATCAGAAGTGACATGGAGTACCGGGCCAAGCATTCCCTCAGGTTGGGAAATATCTTCTACCGGGAAAATTGTCCCTGTGAGTGCTTCATCTATAAGTACGTGTCGATCTCTCCTCATATTTCCTATGCTTCTTAAATACTGATTTGACTATCTAGACATCCGCAGGATCAACCCCCTCCTACTATGCGGGCCTTTCGCCTTCTTCTTTCTCGCTGCAATCAGAAGATGGCCTTGAAACGATCACGGGCTGGGATTCAAGAGGATTTGCTGTGACGAGCACGGTTTTTGTAAGATGCAGCACGGCAAAAAGCTACAATCAGCAAGGGTTTCTGGTAACAGGAACAGCGGCTTGTACGGCTGGGATTGGCCAAGGAGGCCTCAGTACAAATGCTGCAGGTGCCATCAGTGGGAAAGTCGGGAGCACAAATAATGCTGCAAATTGCCGAAAAGCCTTGCCTACAGTGTTTGGCATAGCGGCCGCAGCCGTTGGGGGCGTGTGGGTTTGACCGAAACTCAATACGCTATATGGGTTTTATGGATGGATTTGGATTGGAAGGAAAATGGAGTCTGATATGTCATATTATGGTTTGAAAATGGATGGGATCGGCTATTTAAACTCTAATGGGAATGCTCCTCTGAGAGATTTGGCTGTGTGAATGCACATAAAAGGGAACAAGATAATAAATAGAAGAAATCTACGTTCTAATGATGAGGATAAGGATGAATGACGATAGCTGTATATATATATCTCTCTCTACCTTGGATCTCTATAATTGTTAGAGCATGTGTATCATTATCTCCCTTGTAAGTCTTATTTTCATAGTATGTATGTTCTAGTAAATTGAGATGAGTTTATTCAATAAAACAGAGAGACTAGAGTGAATGATTACGGTAAATGACAAAAGCTGGATGTCGTGACTAATTTGCATATTGTGAATCTCAAAAGAATAATCCACTTAACTTAGGGGTGCGCAAAGGGATATAGAAAGAAAAGATAACAATTGAATGAAAAGAGGAATCTAATGATTGTAAACAATGAAGAAAGATCTCCTTAGAATCTCAGAAGGACTTGTTCTATCTTGTATCTTAGAAAAAGAGTCTAATAATCGAGGAAAACAAACAAGTATATAAGGTGCATACGATAGGAGACGGATAGCTATCCCAGTTTAGAACAAGAAAGGAAAAAGGAATGAAAAAGTCAAACGGAATACGTTTTAATATTGTCTGTTACGCGAAAGGAAGAAAGGGGTGATCCGGGAAACAATGTCTGTATGAACCAATCAGATACGTAATTGAGATATAGAAGAATGGATTTTAGTTAGGTCAACAAGATATCCAATATATAATTATCTGCAAGTTAGGTAACTTCACTTTATTTTTCTAGATATATGAAGATACCGTTAGAGATGATATTGGAGTCCTTTCAGCATATACTACGGTATCCAGAGAGCAATGACAATTAAGACTGTGAAGAGGTAATATCAAATGTTTATGTTTCACATCTGATGCTTGTATGGCAATATTAATCTAGCGCTTACAGTCCACCTTTGTGTTTTTGCCAACTTGAAGCCAGCTGGATCATACACTATAATAATTTAGCGGTTGTACGCCAATGAGCGTTCATTGGATAGATTGTGCAGATGGAACGTTACAATACATAGGGATAGTAACAAATAACAGGCAGACTTTTCAGAGTGTTTGAATTCCTGTATATTTGACACTTGAGATCAGAGTATCAATGAAATACTGAGAGACTTTAGGCGAGGAATATATTGTGGAACCATCGCTCAACCAGCATGCCCAAAGATGAAATTGTATGCAATAAAACCAGATGATGACAAAGAGATCGTATTATTTCATACAATGATAGCGAAAACAAAAGATGAGACAGAAACAAACCACAACAAAATATTCAGCAAATGAAAGGCGGAAACATAGGGAGAGTAGTAGATGATAGTCGCACTAAGGATTTATTGACTACGGATTAGACGGATTCTGAGATTGAGAATCCGGAACGGTGATCAATGTGTAATAAGAAGCCATGCTAGAAAGCATATCCAAAAGGTTTGCGGAAAGATACCATTTACAACCAATATGTAATTGTAAAGAGATTGTGAGGAGCAATACTGTTAGTATCTTGTGTCTGGGGGCATTGTTAAATTCCTGTCATAGTTGTGTCACGCGATTTGGACACTGGCAGTTCCATGTTCCCGTTCCCCTTTCTTCCTTCGCTTTTCAACCTCTTCACAGAAACATAAGTGGAAGGATTGCATTATCTCAACAGGGCGATTGATCAACGAACATTAAGACTTTGCTTATCAGAACAGAAACTTCGCATTAAAATGTTCAAGTTGTTTACCTCTAGCTTTGGCTTCCCGCATCCGGGGATCTATTCTTTCATGATTTCACAGATCAATCATGAAAAAAGTCAAAGGCAGACAAAGAGCTTCAATACCAGACTTCATCAATAGTCGCATGGCCAAAAAAACATTGTCTCATACTTGGAATTACGAAAACTCGACAGCTCCTATTTCTTCTCCTGAACAATCTCTACTTGCAAATATCAAGATGCCTCTGCCGGGAGAGTATATGGACCAGACAGCTCGCGTGGCTAACGCTCAAGTAGAATGGAATGAGTACTTAAAGACAAGAAGAAGTAGACTGAAATTCATCACCGAAAAAGCCATCAACGACGATGGCTTCGACTATATTATTGAAGGACAAGATTATGCCACGAGGGAGGCAGAATTGGAGAAAAATTTGATTTTCTCTGGTAAAGGTTCACACACACAAAAAGCAAAAAGCTATATGTTATCAAGTAAAGAATCTTGGTTTTCCGGCAAAGACATGCTTGGCCGGGAGTCTCCAAGAGATACTATAGGACTATTGGGACTACTAGCCGCCGCCAATGTTGGCGATAAATTCATAGAGCGTTATTTTGATGATTTAACGACCAACAATGGCGCATGGCTCCATAGAAGTCGATTTGAAGGCCACAAAGCGGATTATCCTCTGTGGACAGCGCAAAACGACGAAACCTCATTGAAGCTTAAACAATTTCATGCCATGGTGGATGCGCTCGCGAAGAATCCAGATTCGCCGAGACTCTGGAAGCATCTCAATGCAATGTTTCGTCTCAGTGGTCATTTGATGAAAATTCTGAGATTCATCGATGAGCAAAATGCTCACCTGGAGGGCCAACCAGCATTGCCGGATGGCTCGAATATAAGTGAACCTCGACTAAGGGCAGCCTGGGCACTACATAGGGCATGGGTAAGATTGCTTCACTTTCGGTCGTTAAGTTTGGGATCGCTGCCTCGTGGAGTAGACCAGCTTAAAAACATTCTCGTTATTGCTAGAGCACAATTGGAGGAGGAGATCCGTGGCGCCCCTTCTGATACCAGAAACGTTCTTGAAGATCTGGTACAGTTCGAAACTACATTGGGGACTTTGACACTATTCTTGAAAGCACTAGCAACTGAATGTGGCGAGTATGCTGTTCCAAAACCAGGGGCGCAAAGACCCTATACTGTGTCAGATTTCAGTATAGATGCTGATCGTGTAGGCGCGTCGTGGAGTCAGGTAAGTATCGTAATTACTTCCCAGTAATAATGAATGGCACTGACCGAAAACTAAATAGATCACCCAGGTCTTAAGAGGGGATCTACTAGGCAAAGTTGTTAATCCACTTTCGCATATGCTCTTGTGGTCACAATTACTTGATCGTGCTGCCGACTTCGAGGACAAGAACAATAGGTACTATGTCGAAGATCATCTTATCGATAATCGTATCCTCGCTGAAGACGAATACTGGGAGTTGACGAAAATGTTATCTCAAAGGGGTTACGATCCTGATGTTATAAAATCTCGTCTTCCCGATGCTGTACAAGAACGATATGTGAGGGCACTAGCGAGAAAGGTCTCGCAGGTTAATGTAAACAGGCGTGACTTTCTACTCTTACGAGATTGGTCCAAGAAACGACCTTGGTAAGTTACATCGCAGCCCCTCATATTTCGTCTTTAAAGGCAACGGCTGATATCGAAAGGAAACAACTATATTGGGTGTTCGATACCGTTACAACAGATTCCTGGCGCGACCTCATTGACGATTTTTACAACACTATTGAATTACTCAAATGCGTACCCGCAGAGCTCGATGACGAACTAGAAGCATCAAATATGAGGGCAAGAATAGAAGCCGATCCAGAATCTGAAGCAAACTTGTTTGCAAACGTTTTCCCCATCCACCCACTTCCCAGTCATGATCCATGTAAGTACGCTGGTGCTTACTTTGGTAATTGTGTATACTGCCTGGAAGACTACACACCGGGAGAGCTGTGGTTACGCTTTTTCTGCGATCATATGGTGCATTACGATTGTGGTCGTGACGCAGTAAGTAATCTTCACATTTATCCCCCTATCTTGAGGAAAATGGATAAACGCTAACATCGCGTTCTAGTGGGATAACCCAGGAAACCCAGATTTTAGGTGTCCTCTTTGTAGGCAGACACAGTCATGGCAGCTCCACCAGGTTGCAGGTATTATTCCGGAGGCTCTAGACTTATGGGATAATGTCGACCTTGTGGACGCAGACGAAGTTGCTATTCACCCTGTTGTTCAAATGGAGGGTACTCCCGCGGATGCAGAAGGCTTCAAAGAATTGTACTGGGATAGTGAGGCTGCGCATTTAAATGCGAGTGAAGCGGTAGGTCTCAAGCTTGAAGATACGGAAGCGTGAACGAAGGCTAATCCAAGGATAGTGGGATATTCATTACTACGGTTTGCCAAGGAGCCTTCACCACGAGATGGCACAAATGAGAGATGCAAGGAGAAAGCGTGTTTTAGCCGCAAGACTTGCGCGAGCTGAGAAAGAGAGAGAATTTCCCACATTAGCAGATTAGTCAGATCAAGCAATCTCTTGTCCTCTTCTATGGCAATCACGTTTGATGATATGGACGGAATGTGCCGCTTTTGCTTCCTTTTCCTTGGACTGGTAGACTCATTGGTCGTAATATTCGATTGCGTGGTACTATATATCACTCATCTGAAGGATTGACCCTCGGTGTACATCTGATTTATCAATGAGTGTCTGAATGCGGTGCTGTTTCTCTTTCTGTTAGAAACATACTTGATTCTTATCTCCCAGTAATGCTTATTGCGTTACTACACTGCAGATAGCTCTCCTGTGTTTAGGCGATTGCGCGTGCCTCAAAGTCTTGGTCTATTCAAGATTATTTATTCTCGAAACATAGTATTGGGATTAGATAGATCAAATCGAAGGTGAATTTTAAATGATTATACCAAGTCTTACAAATGAGCTTGTATTCGTGTCATGGATGTACATTGGGCCATTTCTGTCCAAAGCAACCTTTTAACACCAAATCCACGAATCTTCGACGAATAATATTTACCTGCTACTTTGATTGCATTTCTCAGCACTTATGTTAACCGTACCATCAAATGTACTAACTTCACGTTCATCCTGTTCAAAGTCGGCATTGCTCCAAATAATCGCTTCCCGGCCACTCAATCTTTCCAGCCATAGGTATCTCTAAGAAGAGAATACTTGCCTCCAAATTCTCCGGGGAATTAATAACATTTAAAACATTCCCTCCTAGCCTCGTGTTCATCAAGCGGCATCGAAGTCCTAAGCTCCAGTGCTTCAGGCTTTTACCACATCATCTGCAAGAGCCATAGCGCACTTTACAAAAATACCGAAAGACTGTTCAGGTTGACCCAGCTGAAGGGGATCGTTTTTTGTCCCCTGTCATTTATTTAGAATCTACACAAAATCCTCACACAAAGTATATTACAAAACAAACCTTCCTGGGCCACCATTGCTTGCAAAAATACAGCACTATACTTTCATTATCCTCCAAATTCCGCGCCAGTACCTGAGTTTCTTCTGCATGGCGAGGTCTCACGAAGTTTCAGCTTTCTTGGCTCCAAGGCTGATAGGGATGCCTTCACGTAGGGAAAATCTGGCAATGATCTCGAGGCCATTGCAGGAGTTGATGGCGCTATGGAATTGTACATAGACGAGGAGATGGAGTTCACAGCAGCCGCCATGGGACGTGAGGTGGTGAGTTTAGGGCAGGATAATATATAGGGGAGATGAAGAAGGGAGGTTGAAAATGGTAGTGAAGGAATTACCTCAATGCCGGCGACTCAGTGGCTCTGCCGCGGGAATGCCATCATTTTAGCAAATCATGATTCTCATTTCCATTTTTGCTTTTTGGAAATATTTTGACTGTAATCGGGGACTATGTGTGATAGCTATTTTCAGTAGAAAGGTGGCGTGTGATTGGAACTGTTGAAGGGGCGACCGCAAATGATGAAAGAGAAGAACGGAAAAAGAATAAGAAAAGACTGGTTCATCAGACAAGCTCAGCCTATATCTCCACTCTATATAACCAGCTGCCACAGTATCTCGAATATCACACTCTCAAGCCTCATAATTCACTGGCCCATTCACCGCACACCTTCCTTTTACGAATCACTGCCTTGAAATTCGCAGATCCTACGTCCCAAAAATTCCTGAACCAATTACATTGGGCAACACTCAAGAAAACACTTGCAAAACGAGGTCAAAAAATAATCTTGAAATTCACGAAGATATTGACGAAGAAATGGATAGGGATTTTCCATAATTCATTGGAGAATTCGAAAATGCCGGTCAGCGAAAAAGGGGGCCAGCTTGTGAGGACAGGACAAAGATGAAAACCTTTCTACCCCATTTTCATTTCCATTCCTTCTCTCAAACACAATATGAAGAATTAGAATTTATGAGGTCCCAATAATGTAAAGAATCCTGGACTCTTCATGATCGAATTCAAATGACGGAAGTTTTTCGTTTGCTGTATCAACATAAAAGGGGGTCGAGAGCAACAAATCCGACTCGAGTCGCACAGAAACCCTCTTACCAGTAATAGCAGGTACCATCCTCCACCCGGATTGATTGTTCAGGAAGCAAAGTGGGACTATTGCGTATTGGAGGATATTTACGAGAGACAGAGACATTCGAGACAGTAATCGCCATCGACAATTCACAGTTGCTGACACAATTGCAGGAGTATAATCATGATTTTACTCTTTTGTTTTCTTCTAATCTAGTAAACGCTTCATGTAGCTACAAGCTACGAAGACGCAGAAGACACGTCTCAACTTACTCCATAATATTGTTTCGTCAATTGCTTGAAATTCTTGTCGGAGTCATTTCATTGAGTCGATTTTTCCCACCATTTTAATTCGGTGAACCTCTCTAATCCTGTAACGTCATTACCGCGTGCAACATCACTTGCTACGACTTTGGCAGCCTTGATGCAATCATTTACCCCGACTCCAGTGTACGAATTTCCAGCTACTGCCAGTCTTCCTTTGTATGCACTCAACAGCTCATAATGCGCTTGCTTGAGCCTTTTTTCATGACCCACAGTATATTGGGGAATGCAGTCTTTCTGCAAAGATGCGTGTGCCATTTCCGGATCTTGGTCAATTTTCAGGTGTCGTTGGAGGACGGCCTTTGCCATAGAAATACCCTCTTCCTCATCGGGATATGTTTCAAAGTCGTCCCACCAATGGCCACCCAACATAACGGTAACTTTGGTACCTGGAACAGTATCCTGACCAACTGTTGCGTCTGAATCAAACACCACACCAAGAGCAAATTCAGGATTTTGATCGTAAGGAATGGACCGTGGGATTAGATATCCAAAGCCACGTTCGGGGAGAAGGTCTTCATCGCGGTAATAAAGATTCACGACCATGACCGTCACGGCCTCCATTTCCGTGAGTGAAGGAAGGAAAGAGTCATCTGAAGCTGTGGTTAAGGTAGAGAGAGTGCGACCTGACAAGGTGGAGATAACGTAAGAGTGGGAAGTAGGTGGTTTACCGGTCTGAGTTGTGTAGATCTAGGTAATTTAGTAGTTATTTCAAAAAAGGGAGTGGTACACATATATACCTTAATACCTTCTTTTTGATCATCATACTCTATTTTTCCGACATTCTCACCCAGCTTGATTTCGACATTAGGGTTGCTCCGCAAAGAAGACTCTAGTGTTTCAGAAAGCGTACCGATTCCTCTACGGAATGTATATACACTTGTACCTTCTACAATTGCCCTCTCATTGTCCGTGAAAAGACTCTTTTCTTCTTTCTCCATGTCCACATCTTCGGGTATCGCATTCTGAAATTTTCCCATTTGAGATATTCCTGCAGTGATACTTCCATATGCGCCTTCCATTCCCCACTGTGCAGGGGTTATACTCTTCGCACTCAACTTGTAGATATCACCGGCATAGATACCATGAAATACGGCCGACACCAAATTGTTTGGAATATCTGTGCTCCCTGTTCTTCTGGCCAGGAACGATCCCACAGATTCATCATCTAATTCTCTTGGTCTTCGCGGTCTTTTATATTCGAACGGCATTTTGAAGAACCCTTTAAAAACTGGTTCCGTTAACAGCTTCCACGCAATAGCGTAAATCCCTTGGCTGGGCTCGGGCATGCACACAAGGCGATCCGGATAATAGATGAAGCGATTCAAGGCAGCAGCAGACGTTTTGCCAGTTTTAATCACTTGTTCAGTCAGACCAAGATCTCTAATCTATGAATTTAATTAGGTTGACTGGAAACAAAAGCTTGAAACATGATCTTACCAAGTTTAAGGTGACAAATCCTGCAGGCGTGTTCGGTCTCAAAGTCCTCGGGCCTTGTTCGAAGACGACTTCACCATCTCCCACATCAATACGTTTTGTTCGTAGCCAGCCTCCTAATCTCTCACTGCCCTCGTATAATGTAACTTTCAAGTGCGGTGCCATTTGAGTGAGATAGTACGCTGTTGCGAGACCCGTAATTCCCCCGCCAAGTACTGCGACACTGGATTCCTTCCATTCTTCTCCATTTTTGTCTTCTGATGTGACTTCCGCAGACCTTCCAGTTGGTGTATTTGGCGAAACATGGCTACTGTAGTATTTCCGCAGAGGATAAGATCGTTCGCGCATGCATAATTGTGGCCGCGCTTCAGAGCTATATGCTCTGGGATAAGATCCGGATAGTGTCCGCCGACATAAGCGTACGGCTTGACATTGAGGAGTGTTATAGCATCGCCTAAGAGGACTCAATAAAGGAGACTCAGGCAGAGGCAGAGGCAGATGCAGATGCACACGCATCCTCATTATTTCTATTTGTGGATGCTGTGTAGTCGCAGCATGAAATTATTATTGATGTTCGGATGAACTTGTTGCGCAGCTTCGCTTACATTGATTGACAGTGGCACTGACGCTGACACTCAATGCCCAAGCTCTTAAAAGCTACCTGCCTCCCTGCCAAACCTGCCCCTCCCCCGCAAAGTGCTATGCTTCGGTATCAACTCAGGTACACATCAGGAACAAACAAGATTCCCAATTAAATTATATATAATCTACAACAAACAACAAACAACAAACATTAATTTCCTTCCGTAATCATCTTACATCTTATTGAAATGTTTAGTATTCTCAACGATAAACTCTGATTACTCAAAATCTCGAAAAAGGTTGATTTCCTTTTGTGCTGCGAGCTAGATCACAGGTTTCAAGCTCCGGTAAGCTTTGATAGAGCTCAATGATTGAAAAGAAACTCACAGGTTCACATCACAAGTAGGGCAAGATGCAAGGGATCTTCGGTTTGGCTAAGCCCCAAAGACTTTCTGCTCTGGGGTGCCGAGTGATACAACAATCCATTCTACCTAAAAACTGCTTTGGCTGTCGCCAGCTATTCATTATGATGGCCCAATCATGATATATCCGAGAACCCAGTCACGATCCTCTTATCCATAAAACGCCAGACTATAGTCTCCCTCCCACTCCATATGCACCCGTGTTGTACAATTTTTTTCTTGAAATCAATTTCCTCCACCTAAAATCCATAAAAACATTTTACCCCGTCTACTCCACCACCTCTGCATCACCATTTCTTCCAGCTCCTGTGTCTGTCGATGCTGCTCCTCCGGGTACAATCAATTCCTCATTCCCATCCTCATCCACAAACTTCCGCTCACTGACGTGCTCTTTCGTGCCATCCGCCACCCATACCTTGTCATCAAACTTTCCTCTCTTCTGACCTTCTTCATGCTTGAATGCACATGTCGGATTTAAGCAAGGGTTAAACTTGCACATAGTCTTGACGTGTGTAAATTTACAGTCTGGTGTTGTGCAATCCGCACCGTTTCGACATAATGGCATTGTTGGATGCCGGAAGGGGCAGTTAGCATTTTTACAATTTGGAAAGTATATGCAGTCTTGGGTGGTTTGGTGCGCAATCTTTTGGGCCGGGGATGGATGTCGCCCAACGCATTTTCGATTCTTGCAAGCGGCACCAAAACTACAAATATCCGCAACATCGATGGCCGTCCCTGGAGGAGCTGCTGGAGACTGATGCGCAAACTTGCAATCTTTGTTTGTGCAAGACAAGTTGAACCTGCATGTAGTTTCCGGGGAAAGACTATCGACCTTATCAATAGAAGACATCTCGACATCCATCGAGTTGTCGTTTTGAGATTGTGGTTGTTGGTCGTGACGTTTCTGGAATCCATTATTTTGAGATCGGTTAGGATGTTGCATTCGTTCATGTAGAGGCCTGCCTTGTCCCGGAAATCCTGAGCCCATACCATTCCCTCCTCGTGACATCATCTGCTGTTGTTGTGGAGTGAACATTTGTGCCATCATTCTTGATTGCTGCTCAAGCATAGCATAAAGTTCGAGTTGTTGTTGTGGAGACATGCTCATAACATTTTGCGCCGCACCATGTTGCGCGGACATACCTCCCATGCCGCCATGCCCGCGCCCGTTTTGCATACGAGCAGCACCTCGAATATTTACGGGTCCTCTAGGCCCTGTCGGGGGCACTCGCGCATGTGTGTTTATTCGTTCATTTCCCGACTGAGGTCGAACTCGGTGGAGCGCGGCATCATGCGTGCGATCCATCGCCTTGGCCAAATGATTCAACATACGTTTGTCCCGTGGACGAGTGATACCACCACTTCCATTTCGCATTGACTTGGGGCCGGTTGGTCTGTAGCAAGTTAGTTTTTTGGTCTCAAGAGTATATTTCTGAATTTTAAACTGATTAAAAGAATGATTACATACACATTTACATCACCCACCTCTGACGCATCATTCATATCCGCATCCTGAGGCACATTTAAGTCTCCAAACTGGGCTTGTCCAGTCTCTACCCCAGTATCGGGGAATCCTCCACCGCCATTTTGTGAGCTTAATGATCCAACCTGGTCAAATAGCCATTGCGAAAAATCTCTTGCACCAGGGTCATCATCCCCAAGATTCAAAAGATCGCCCGATAATTCCGCAGCGATTTGCTCTTGAGTTTTCCCGTTCACCAACATGAGGATAATGTATTCGGAAAGCGCAGAGTCATCAGCTCCACCAGTACTCCATCCTACTTCTACAAGCTTTGGTTGGATGGAAGCATTGAGTGCATGTGCCAGAGGCGAATCTAAGACAACTTCGACCGACATCTTTGGATTGTGTTGATTTCTTTGTTTATCAAAGATCAGGCCTTCAAATCCTTGAGCTGCTGAAGCTCACGAATGGAATAAGAACGACAGTGAGCTATGGTAATCGTGATGGATCGCAATAAGTGATTGATTGAGACGTTGCTTATGATGCCCGTGCGACTGTTTATAATCCTTCAGTAGCTGTGAAGAAAAGGATGGTATGAGTTTGATAGAATAAAGATCTTGAAAGACCAAGAAGCTTAAAGAGCCCTGGCGAACACAATATTTGCCTAAGGATGACACATTTTTGAGCCGCATGAGGTTAGCCAGAATTGTGATTTGCTAAGCATTCACGTGCTGTATCAAAAGGTTTAAATCACGTGATTGTACGCGAACTCTTCAGCGAGAGATTCATTCATAGTTAGGATTGTCAGTCCTGTCATATACTTGAGTACAGCATAGCAACAAAATGCCAGCAACGTACTTCACATTGTACTTCATATATTGTTCTCGATGAGTCAAAAGGGGATTTAAAGCTCCTTTAGAAATTGGTCAGTCATTGTCCCATGTATTTGCACCTTGGCCAAGCTCCTGAAAGCGGGGGAGCGGTCACTTGCATTCTAACCGTCGATGGACCAACTTGAACAAATAGACCGAACCAAACCTAACTTTGGGCTCAACCAGCCAAAGCCACCAGCGAATACCGTATAAAGTTTAAACTTACATGCAAGAAGTCACCCGAGCCCCTTTTGAAGCAAACTAATCACGAAACTTCCGAGGTATGTTTATTATAAGATCGTTGAATATCAAAAAGTTTGGGAATGAAAAGTAGTCATATTGTCTTGAATATATAAACTGTATTATAAAGTCTTAAGCTAAAGTGATTAAAATTAAACTTGATTTGTAATAGGTCATTTATAAAATTAATAAGAAGAGAGCTTAGAAAAGTATTAGAAGATTCCGAGTTGTAATCTATCCGGTCTCGACTTTTTAATATAGTACGAACTCTTATATATGAGTTTATACAGATAGATATTACTGTTTTGATATTTCAATCAATATATCAAAATTCAAGACACATCTATATTGTCTTATTGTTTTGTGGGAATATGAAACAGCACTGAATTTCATACATGTTGTATCCGGTCCAACAAATCTCACTGCTTTCCAAGTGCTGACATGTTATTTCGTATTCCTCATCATCAACCCATCCCTTTTTCATGCTTAGATACCATCTTTAACCATCGGTTCCATGAAGCCCCAATGACGCCGCACCAGAGAGATTACAACGAATCCTAGAGAATCAGGATTGATACCGAATCTACTTTTAGTAATTCAAACGGTTATGATTATGTTGTAAATTCTCAGTTCCTCTATACAGAGTCACAACTGCAGAGTACCTCGTCGATGCTGTGTACTGCATATCTAATGTAAATCGGCTTCTGAGGTAAGCCAGTTGGACTTCCCGTTCCCCTCAAATGTACATCACAATTTCGACCCCAGACCTCAACCCTTGACCCTTATCCATACCATGATCCATTACCAGAATCCATTCAAATCCATTCAAATCCATCCATATCCATCCATATCCATCCATATCCATCCATATCCATCCATATCTATCCTTCTACTGCGTACGTACGTTTGTCTCGCGCAAATGCATCAACCCGACTGAATGCGACATTATCAGATAACAAACTGATGGGGACATGTCTCTAGTCATTCTACTACTCTCATACTGCCACCTACTACTATCTGCGCACTTCTGCGTGCAAGAGAACTACTCCATCACGTCGTACTTTTTCTCCCCGGCTTTTCAAGCTGTAATGGTAACGTTACGGCAGCTGGATTGGTAGTCTCGCATCGAGTTCTCCGCACTTAGTGTCAATTATTACTACAACAGGACAACCAGTGGGAACATCGGATTGGGCTACCTGCATAATTTATTTATCGTCATAACTAAGTCTTGGGAGAAATCAATTTGATTGCGCTGAACTCTATTCTGAGCTTTTGCGCAGTGCAATCCCTAGTTGTGGTAGATTCACAAGGATTTGGGCGTACCGCAGGAATATGAACCCAGGTAATACTGCAAAACATCCTTTTATTCCGAGCCACACCAATTAAGTGATTGGTTGAGGGCACTTTGCATGTTCTTGCTCACGAAGCTATATAGTTTACTTCTCCCATCTGTTTTTTGCATTGTCTCTATTCTCGTTACATCTAAATCTACACATACAGTCCTAGACTAGCACTTCTCAATATGCTGTCTTCGACATTTCTAATATCTGCTTTTGTTTCCTCTGCCCTTGCTATTTGGCCTCAACCCGCTTCCTACACGAATGGTACCGGTGTTTTGTGGTTGGATCAGAATGTTAAGGTGACTTATGATGGCGGCCTTGTACGATTATTCCCCCCAAATTTTTATATTGATATGAATGCTGAGAAAGTGTTGGCTGTACAGTCTACGGGATATTCTGGTGATGGGACTGGGAATGTTACAAATAGCAAAACTATTGTTTCCAGTGCTGTAACTCGGGCCATGACCAAGATCTTCAATCAGGGTTTGACACCATGGAAATTCTATGCACGAAATACCTTGCCCCAAGTTGAGCCCTCGGCCACTTCAAACAAGACCTACATTACCGAACTCTACATCACCCAGACCGGACACGATAATTCCTCCACCTTTAAACCTACGGATGGTCAAGTAGACGAATCTTATAACCTCACCATCACTACTGACGGGAAGGCCACCATCAGCGCCCCTTCATCTATCGGCATCCTTCATGCACTGACAACATTCACACAACTTTTCTATACACATTCCGTTGCCAAGGCTGGCGTCTACACGAAATTGGCTCCCGTGATAATTTATGATGCACCAAAGTTTGCACATCGTGGGATGAACATGGATATATCTAGAAATTGGTATCCTGTTGAAGATATTAAGAGAACGATGTTGGCCTTGCATTACAACAAATGCAATGTTATTCATCTTCACATCACTGACGCTCAGTCATGGCCTTTGGATATTCCAGCACTTCCTGAATTGTCCAAGTTAGGTGCTTACCAAACCGGATTGTCATATACCCCCCAAGACCTAAAGGAGATCCAAGAATATGGAACTAATCTTGGTCTCGAGGTCATTTTAGAAATTGACATGCCTGGTCATACAAGCTCCATTGGATATTCTCATCCTGAGCTCTTGGCCGCCTTTAACGCCGAACCCTGGGATACCTACTGTGCTGAACCTCCTTGTGGATCATTGAGACTGAATGACTCTGCTGTACCAGCATTCCTAGAGACATTGATGAATGACCTTCTTCCCCGAGTCTCCCCATATTCATCATACTTTCACACTGGTGGAGATGAAGTCAATGTTAATGCGTATTTGCTGGATCCTACGGTCCAATCAAATGACACTGAGGTTCTTCGACCATTAATCCAGGCATTCGTGGACAGAAACCACAAACAAGTCAGAGCTGCTGGACTTACACCAATGGTCTGGGAAGAAATGCTCACAACATGGAACCTCACCTTGGGACCAGATGTTCTCATTCAATCATGGCTCAGTGATGCCTCAGTTGCTCAGATCGTCGGTGCTGGACATAAAGCTATTGCTGGCAACTATAACTTTTGGGTATGTACAATTCTGAAACATCTTCAGCTCACTTGCTAACAAAGTCAGTATCTCGATTGCGGCAAAGGGCAATGGCTCAACTTCCAACCAGGAGCATCCTCCCAAGCTTACTTCCCCTACCTCGATTACTGCTCTCCTACCAAGAATTGGCGTCTAGTCTACTCTTACGATCCTCTCGCTGGAGTCCCTGAAAACTCAACTCACTTGGTTGTTGGCGGAGAATTCCACATCTGGTCCGAGCAAACCGACGCCATCAACATTGACGATATGGTATGGCCACGGGGAGCTGCGGCAGCGGAAGTCTTGTGGTCGGGAGCCAAGGATCCAGTAACTGGACAGAATAGAAGTCAAATCGACGCGGGCAGCAGATTGCCAGAATTCAATGAGCACTTGAGAACCATGGGAATCCGATCGGGACCTGTACAAATGATTTTCTGCACGCAATTGGACTCAGCCGAGTGTTCATTGTAATTGGATATGGGCAAGATGGGATGATCGATTTGAGGCTGTAGAGATGGGCGAGGTATTGTTGCATTAGCATGGAGTTAGGGCATTGGACGTTAATGTGTGCGTTGATATCTACTTGAAATCTACTTTGTGGGAACATAGATAGATTGTGATAGAGGTCCCACAGGAATGATTCATCGTTTTTTATTGAAGATTTTATTATGTGCATGGATTAGTGGGTGAAAGGTCGGAGCGATAATCAATAGTAGATAGAAGGTACCTTTACAAGTTGTACACCAGAACCAAGTTAAAATCAAGATCTCTAAGCGGATGGGTATACAGACTAGATAGACTGTAGACATTTCTCTACCCGTCAAAGGTTTCCGTGGACTTGGATTAAGTTATCTTAGATACCTAGCGAATGAAGGTCTAAGAATGTAAATAAGCTATATAGATTCCAGATCATTATCAAAGATGGGATTACTTATTTGTTATCTGTTTATATGGGTTGATATTATATATATATATACATATATATATACATATACAAGCTTGAATAGTAATTTTGTGATGTAGCTTTAGTTCCTACCCTGGTAAAAGCTTTCAGCCCCGCTGACTTTCCATTGGCTCCCGCTGGTTTGCACACAACACACTAACTCGAGCACAACCCCCAGAGATATTGATAACGTGATACGATGAGGTGGGTGGTTTCATGTTTGTGTGGAACGGAGTCCCGGAAATCCATGTTAAGTTGTTAACCCTTACCCCGGATTTGCTCTCTTGTCTTTACACCGACCGTATGTTCTTTTTGTTTTCCTACTTCCATTTCCATTTCCCATTTTACATGTGACTCCTCGGTCATCATCTTTCAAACGGATTACATATTACCCATTATATTACATATTATATTACATGTGAAATATTATATTACACAAATGCATGAATTTATCCAAGGAATTTCTTACGCCATCGTTCCCAATTCGAGCACAGACAGGCAAAGGATCACAAGGGAAGATAAGGCAAAAACAAGAGAATTCCTCCACATCACATTCCCCATTTCCAGAATTTACCCCCACCTTTGATCGGAAGTTGCTGTTTGCGATGATGGATACGAAGCGATGTGATGCGACATTGGACCTTGGACGTTACAAGTTACAGCAAACAAACGCCTAGGTTATCTGGGTAGCTTAAACAATTTTCATCCGAGCGCTCATGCATTCTTCCGCAATGAAGTATAACAAAGACTAACATGACCATGACCATGACTACAGTCCCAGGAAAACACAATAAGTATAAGAAGTTGAGAAGTTGAGAAGTTGAGAACAACTTGCGCTTTCGAGCTTTCTATCACTTCCGTCTTACTCACCATTCATCATTCCAATCATATGGTCACATAATATCAACGATTCAATCATGTTGGAAGGCATGTCAACAAAGTCTCTCGTCGCCGCATTTGTCGTGGTATTCACCTTGATTAAAGTTACTCGCTTGATTCAGAAAGAGCTGAAGATCAGATCGCTTGGTGGTCATACGAGAAGAGTGAAAACATGGTTTCCATTTGGTACATATCAAGACTGTTGTTTTCCTCTTGCAGAAAAGCTTGCTAATGATGATATCCAGACCTTGACCTCATCGCGCGCTCAATCAACTATAGTTTAAACGACAGAAATCTCGACGCATGGCAGGCCTTCTTCGACGGTCACAAGGATAAACGCTATACAGTCGAGGCATATCCGGGAGGACAACGCACCCTTTTTACTGCAGAGCCGGAAAATGTTAAAGCTATACTTGCAACTCAATTCACCGATTACGGGAAAGGAGAACCATTTCATAAAGATTGGAAAGATTTCCTTGGTGATAGTATCTTCACCACTGATCTTGATCAGTGGCATGATTCTCGCCAGTTGATACGTCCACAGTTCATAAAAGATCGCGTTAGTGACTTGGACACTTTCGAGAGACATGTACAAATCTTAATCCAGAAGATCAAAGTGGAAGGTAAAAAGTGGGATGGTACTCAGGGTCAGGAGATTGATGTTAGTGATTTGTTCTTCAGATATACTCTAGATGCTGCGACGGATTTCTTGTTAGGACGCAGTGTAGAAAGTTTAGAGAGACCAGGGGAATTCGCAGATGCTTTTGCGGAAGTTCAGAGAGTGCAAAGTATGATTGCGAGGGCTGGGTATGATGTCTCATCTTCCTCTTTTATTAAAAACGAGCGCTAATCCGGTAATTAGGCCTATGAATGCATTGATTCCAAGGAAGTCATTCTATAAAGGTCTCAAAGTTATCAACGAATTTGTTACGCCCTTCATTGAAGATGCCCTTCGACTTCCTCCAGAGGAATTAGCAACTAAAACGAAAACTGAGGAAGGTTATACATTTCTACATGCATTGGCCTCTTACACTCGCGATAGAAATGTCCTTCGAGATCAACTTGTAGCAGTCTTACTTGCCGGTCGCGACACAACAGCTTCCACTCTATCGTGGACTTTCTACGAATTAGCTCGTCATCCTGAAGTTTTCAAGAAATTGCGTGAGGAAATTATTTCAAAAGTTGGTCTTGAGGAAGCTCCAACTTATCAACATTTGAAAGATATGAAATATCTTCAGGTAACTCCTCATTCACTTGTCGTAAATTTCTTACTTACCACCATAGAACGTCATGCATGAGACCCTTCGCCTTTACCCTGTTGTTCCATTTAACGTCCGTCTCGCCCTGAAAGATACCACCCTACCCGTCGGTGGTGGTCCCGATGGCCTTTCGCCCGTGGGGATTCTCAAAGACACCCCAATTGGCTACTCTACTCTCATTATGCAACGCCGGGAAGATCTTACTCCAGATGTCATGTCTTTCAACCCCGATCGTTGGTTAACATGGCAGCCAAAACCTTGGCAGTATATCCCTTTCAACGGTGGCCCTCGAATCTGTATTGGTCAACAATTTGCGCTCACGGAAATGGGGTATACGATTGTTAGGATCCTGCAGAACTTTGATGGTTTACAGGGGTTTATGCAGGAAGTTGATGGAGGAAACCCGAGACTGAAAGCGGACATTGTGTTGCAGCCTGGGCAGGGTGTGCACGTGGGATTTTTGGACAGGCAGAGCGGGACTTGGAAGATGGAGGGTTAGGATGTGATGGCTATGGGTATGGTCACGATGATATGGCATCTACATGCTTTTCTTGTTACTCTGAGACATGTTCATAAGGCATGAATACTAACTGGTCGATGGAAGCGCTCATCTCATCTCAGCTCATCTCATGATATATACCAAGACTCAGGGTTTCATATTTTTACAACTGGTATTCCTCACTTTGCAAATATTAACGAAATAAAAATTTATGCCAAGTGAGTGACGAGCCCGGTGTCTCGCTGTAATTATTCTACCATCTGCTACAAATATCCAAAGCGAAGCTGAATTCGTCTTTACCTCTCGTCCCATTAGTATTGCCGCGATGCTCATATTTTCCCACATTAAAAAAGTTGTGTTGAGATATTATGTATGTTGATTATCTTAAATTTGAGGAGGCTGTTTACTATTTTTGTGAAAATTCGCGGATCGTGGAGGGAGGATTCAGTTCATCGGAATGGCTTTCCAGCTTTCCAACCGCGTGATAATGTCTGTTTCTAGCGGAAATACTTTCTTTTACCCGGATGGAAAGTTTGATCTGTTTATCAAGAGTCTGCATTGCAGCTCCGTCCTCACACGCACCGGGCAGAAAGAATCATCCGTCCGATCTCAAGGATAAGGAAGAAGTCGAGTAAAGAATGCGGTGTCTCAAATGGTTTATTCGCACCTGGAAGTATAGACCTTCGTTTGAAGGCGTCGCGAGAAAATCGTCATGCACTATCCAATCCCCACCAGTGTGATAAGGAATACTTGGCCGCAGGCTGACATTGACATCTCTGAATAGTGGAATTAAGGCGCTCCGGTTTAGATCATGAAGCCTGGGTTCCCTGAAAATGGGTTCTATCGTCTTTTGTGTATGTTTAACCATATGGTGGGTATCCAGAGTCGATCGATGAACAGGTGGAAACTATGTTTCTTAAAATGCGTGAAATTCGGAAAAAATGAAATGAAACATCGACATCCTTGAGGTTCTTTTTGTGATATATAATTGTTCAGTTCTTCCTCAAAATCCGAAGCCGGGTACCGGTGAAATATTTTGGAGTATTCTTCTGCGATCATACCATGCATGACGATTCAATAGAAGCAAATCATATCTTCCTCGGTTTGGATGAGGTGTCCAGGACCAACATTCATTGCACCGTCATCTTGTGTCCATTCAAGTATCAGCAATACCTAAACCAAATTAGGATATTTAGTTGTATGGCAATTGCTGAGCGAGTTGCAGCTCACCCTTGACAAAACTGCCATCGTGTGTCATCTCTGAGTGTCGCTCAGGCAAAAATTCATCATTCACCGAAGGAACAACTGTAAAGAGATGGGATGGAGGATGATTCGATATAGAATATCCCATTGCGGAATCAATGAGCCTTTTCGTATGAACATCCTGCAACTATGAAAAGCATTTCGGAACCTATGAGTCCTCCACAGCCAACTTTATCTGCCTCTACTTTGGTATGATATCCAGTTGCATCGCTGGTAATATTTAGAGATGTGCCAGGCGGGCCAGCCAGACACCACCCATGCTTGTTGAAAATGAACACCTTTTTTTGCGACCATATGCTATAGTTTGGAGTGGAATCATGGTACCTTCAGCGCCCAGATGATATGCTGTGATATGGCTTAAATCACCGCCAAATTCGTGGATGTGATCTCTGATCTATTCAAACACCGCATGTCGGAGGCAACTGAGAGCAGGCATGCGACGAGGAAGGCGGGAACACCAGAGGAATTGCGATGGTTGGTATATGATGGTGTGAATCAGAGAAGGATAGATGTATGTCTCGAGAGGTTGGGGATGTGCAATATAACTAATGGTGGATGCAGTGCATCCTTCGATAAAGTGCAATAGTTGCAATTCAACAGTCAAGCATAATCCTACCAACAACTTATCCAATATTTCCACTTTCCTACATTTTTCTCCACTTGTACTGATCTTTTGTGATATTATGATTGCTTACCTTTATAGAATGCGGCAAGTGCTTACGTGTTAGATGTATGATAATAAATTCACTGATAGTGACTATTTATTTTAAAAAATATCATCGACTTATATCAGCTCCCAATTCAAAATTCAAGAATTAGAATCAAGCATAGGAATATGCCAAAAAAAAGCAAATAAATCATCGACGAAGAGTGCAGAAGCAAATTCTTGACAGCAGTGATCAGAGGTATCATCATCTTCTGAAACGCCCTTGCCATTATTTGGTGCCTAATCGGTTACACACCTTGATATTCATTTTGAGGATACATCGTGAGCGACTTATCTCTTAAAAGGATGGTTGGTCTCAAGGCAGAAAAGGGTACACTCGAAGACGCACTCCATGGACCACAAGAAGTGAACAGCAGAGATAGACTATTGTATAGGTGGGGAGAGAGGTGAAAGTTCCAGATTGACTTCCTTTGGGCATCATCGCCGCTACATATTACGTTGCGCTTGATGGCCAGATCATCTGGAACAACTAAGTGCCAAAATACGGTAAAATCCTTACAGTTCGTTCGAAATTTCAAGACTTCAAAAAATCCGACATGGAAATCATAATGTTTATCTTGCAACAGTTGTCTAACCCAATCTGATGTCATGTTTCAACGCCCCGCAACTATGCAATCAAAATACTGCCCCTTACTCCACGCCGAAGCTATTTCTAACAGCCACGCCAAATCTCTCAATCGCCTCTGTCATCTTCTCTTCCGATGCAGCAGCAAACGTGGCGCGGAAAAACATATCTACTGGTACAAAGCCACTCTTTTCAGCGGTGAACCAACTACCCGGACAAATGAGAACACCTTGGTCGATACCAGCGAGGAAAATTTCTTGTTCGATATCTCCAATTGGCTTGGTTTTGGCAGATGGGTGTTTATGCCAATCTACTTGGAGCCAAAGCTAAATTATGTTAGTGAAGTCATATCTATACTGAATCCATGAGATACTTACGAACATGCCGGCAGTTGGCGGATTCCAGCTTATAATCTCCTTGGGCAAGTATTTTTCACAAGCCGCAAGAATAACGTTTCGACGCTTAGTATATTCCAACCGAAGATTGATGAGCCATTGAAGGTAGCCACCATGTCCCCAGCTTTCTTCCAGAAGTTTGTAAAGAACCATCTGGGAGATTCCACTTGGGTTTTGGTTAGAGTTCTCGTTGGACCGGATGAATCTCTCGACAATTTGTTCGGAAGCGGTGATCCACCCTACTCTTGTACCAGGTGCAATGACTTTAGAGAAAGAATCCATTCGCATAACTCTCCCATCAGTATCTATGCTTAAATAAGTTGGTATGAGAGCCTTCAAAAATTCCTCATTGTTAGCCGGTGGTGGAACATCAGGAGCATCTGGGCCAGTGTATGGTTGCATTTGGAGAAAATAGTAAGGTTCATCTTCTAAGATGTATACGTCGTGCTTTTGGGCAACCTTGTAAATTGCATGTCGTCTTTCGATACTTTGTGTTGCACCTGTAGGGTTTTGTCCGGAAGGTACGGTGTAAAGAACGAATGGCTTTCTAGCACCTCTGGCCGTTTCATCCCAGTTGCTCAAAATTTCATCCAAGGCTTCTGGCAAAAGACCTTCGACATCCAGTTTGACACCCAAGAATTTTACACCCAGAGGAGCTGCAGTCTCTACAGCAGAAGCAAAAGTATATTCTTCGGATAACACATAGTCACCCCTTTCACAGAATATGCGATATGCCTGCTCCAAAGCTGATGTACTTCCTACAGTGAGAGTACAACCCCAATCTGCATAAGGTGGATTGCAAACAATTTCGGTATGCTCTGTCACCCATCGAAGCATTTGTGCAGATCCTGTACCTTGCCCATAGTTGAGAGCGATAGATAAATCGTATGCTCCTTTGCCTTCTGACACATCATACTTTCCAGCAGTTATGATAGTTCCAGATTCTTTTGTTTGTTTCTCGGAAAAGTGAGGTATTGTAGGGACCTTGATGGATATTTCTTCGATGGGGAAATATTCGGGGCATGGTAGACCTCCACCAAGAGAAATCATCCCAGGGCCCAAATATCTGGCAGCATTTTTCAAGTTCGATGGCTTCCTTGATCTACTCTCGAGAGAGATGCGATCTGCAAGTAGTCAGTAAAAGTACATAACCATTGTGAAAGAACGACTTACGATCAAATCGTTTTGCTTTTGGTTTCCATGTTGACTATGACTCATTAGACATGACCAGTCCTTTCGGATATAATATACCAACAGGGCTTTTGAAGTGATCACTAATTGTAAATGCTGCTACGCCAGCAGTAAATTTCCCAGCCTTTGCGCGTCTTGCAGAAACTCCATTGACAGTAAGTGGATCGGGTATGACTACGGATTCGGTATCGACGACACCCTCGACATCAATTGCTGTTGGAGGGGCCATTTTCTCTTATCTGACCTTGATTTGACTTGTAGAAGAAGGATGAGAAGAGAAGTAAATAGAAAGAAAGATAGAAGTGGTAAAGACGGAACCTTTCAGAAAAAGGCTGAGATAGATACACGGCGAGCTTATACTTGATGCGACTTCCCGTTGTTGAATATGTAGTTTACAAGGGTTGAGACAGTTGTTCAACCAATGTCAATCTCGAAGGGCGTGCCTTCTTCGTACGTACTGATAAGAAACGACTTACAAGAAAAGAATGTGGAGACGGAAGACGGAAGACGACGTAAAGTGAAATAAGAGAGATAACAATGTGACTATGTGACTATCATATGGTACCAAATATTACCATATACCTGAAGATCATCGGAATTATCATGTAATCGTAGAGTCATAAAAGTAATGGTCCACCTTTGGAGATGTCAGAGATTCTGATCAGACTCATCAGAGAAGTCAGAATGTTGTAGAGGGGAAATCAAAAATGCCGGTATCGCTTGGTATTTGATGAAGGTTAAATTTTGGGGAAAAAGATGCTTATCACGATAGAAGCCGTAGATAAGCGATATGTCCTTCCCCTTATGAGATTAGCTTACGCGGTCCAATTCCATTCTGGAACGAAACAAGAAAGGGATCGAGGGTATCACGATTCACGAAGTTAATGTTGCATATATTGCATTGTCCAATAATGGGATCTTGGCTTCACGGATGGATGGTAAGTGATTCGTTAACCGGCTGCCCGGTAAAAGGGAGATGCTTCACATATATACATTAAAAGTCTTGGTAGAATCGGTATCTAGTTCTATGTAACCCGAATAAATAGTACCTGAGGTTATACTACATACGGTACTCGGATTGGTGCACAATGTTTCCAACTATTCTTATATCTACAGCAAAGAAAGGGAAATTGTAGAAAACACAGCATTATGTATGGCCAGGTCCATCAGAAAGAAGGTTTATTAGATTGTCGATTTTACTCATACATGTATGTATGTTTGTTGTCCATGTTATTTTGGGAATGATGACTATTCTTGATGCATATGGCTAAAAGCAGCAAAAATATCCTGAAAACCCGAACTAGATTTTCATCCCATGAGGGGAACTCCTAAGGTGCTATATATAAATTGTCAAAATAGTGCAAAAAGTAACCTGCTGAAGGGGATTGAGCCCAACGCGGGGGTCGAACCCGCAACCTTGTGATTGACCTAGAACATCTTTCAATGGATAAGAGTCACACGCTCTACCGATTGAGCTAGCCGGGCAGGCTGTTATAGGGCTGTTTGCTCTATTTGTTGTGGGCCATTCTTTGTTTGACAAAATACTTGTGTAAAGAAAATCTACTCGGTGCGTTTATGGGGCTACTCGCTATCCGTAAGCGAGCCTATTCTACTATCCTATTTTGCACTCCAAACCTTCTGATAGATATATAAAAGTAAGATGGCTAATAAAAGAAATGTCAAATTTCAATCCTGTGAATCCAGAATCTAGATATTTATATTAATATTTAAACCGTTTTCGAGCTAAATTCCAATTTTAGGTTGATATCATAATTCCGGTCACCTTTTTCGCTACCCAGGGGGTTAAACGCACGGACATCCAATTTTCTACACGGGGGCTTTTTTGTATCTTGCTCTTCAAAAACCTTCTTAATGTCTTTGATGTTCTCATGCTTCAAAGGTCAATATCCATGCTTCTACCTGATGATGAGATGAATTGGATGACGACCCTAAAGTTAATGATTATCTTGTCCTCAAATCTTTGATCTTTCAAATAGTGTTGACGATCAGCACAGGGCAATCCTGTGAAACTACCTTGCGGCAGTCGACGACCGCTTATGGAAGGAAAACTACATCATAAAAGTTCCGATAAAGCAATGCATACTCCATGCATTCCTCTCCGCTCATTTCGGACAAATTTTGCATCTTGTTGATGGCTTGCAATCCAATCATGTCGGCCTTTCCTGCGTCTCATCGATGCAACCGCTGCAGTAAATGCCGCACCCGAGGCCAATTATCAGGTATTACCCTTTTTCCCGTGCTTGTACCTTTTTCATCTTTTGTTCCTGACTAGCTCTGCTCGGTTTCATTCAATATGTACTAAGGGTTTGAGTAGGCTTAACAATACCGTGTTTTGTGGAGTCGTCTTGCATATCCTATTCATTCCCTTCTGGGTCACTGGCGACTGCACCCATGCAACTATCACTCTACCACCACAGTCCGTAGTTTGTTCGAAGTATGGGGAATTTTCATTCTAGAAAAGTAGTGGACTGAGCATTCAGATTCATTTGAACAATGCTATTTCCTTCAAAGGTACTTTCTTCTATGCAGTGGCCACGGATGGCCCCTGTGTCCATAACCCTGGAGCATGAGTCTTCAATTTTTTGACAGCGTAAGCAACTGTCACCAGCTATCCCTATATCATCTCAATAGTTTTATATCCTCACATGCGATATTGTGCCGAGCCTACTGCGATGAACTTTTTTAAATCTGGAATATAACTATTAGCAAGTAAGGTGTCGACCTAGAATTTTCTGCCAATCACTCTAGAGATGTAGTGGCATTGTGACTTACTGAAATAACTCATTTGCAATTATGAAGTTGTCAAGTATAAGTTGGCCGCCCCTAATGTCTGTTACGTAGATCCGGCAGCAGCTATCACATTCTCTTATTTAATGGACTTCCACGGAGGTTGAAAGGAGCACGTCGTGCTGATATATACATTCCGTAAATATGACATTGTCACAGTCGCAGAATTGGCACTCTTACCTAACAGCTTTGCTCTCACACTGTCTGTCTTCACAGCCTCTCCTGTGTCTGCTCAGGCTTAGAGCTTCTTGAGTGTCGTCTCGGCATATTATGTAGCAAATATTATAACCGCAAGCACCAAGGTGAGATTTAAAAAACTCCTAACAACTTGTATTTCTTAATGCTTCGTGTGAATCGTCACTTACTCAGCTACCACGATGTCGATTAGTGGTATTTTGGCCTGTGCTAAGCTGGAATCTACAACATCGGCCAAGCGCAATGGTTGTCTCAAAAGCCACAACTATCTCATGGCAAGTACAGGCAGTCATCCAGGAGTCTTGTCCATTGTCTGCATTTACGCTCTGCAGTTGCGCTACATGTCCGCGCCTCATTGATAGTGAAACGTCCTACCTTGGCTATTGTGATGTCGGTGTCGGATTAAGAACACCTCCAGAGAGAATCACCTGCACTTAGGCTGCTAAATTGACAATTTTTATATCCGGCACTAGACATTTGGGGAAAACAGTTAAAGCCATAAAGGCTCACTATCATCAGTGTGTCCAATGGTCTTCCCGTACTCTATCGGGATGACCGCTTAGACAGTTAATCTGTGATTGTATCAAACTAAATAAAATTATCCTAAACGGATCATTTCATTCTCCAATGATTTAAGTTCGACTGCTTAACATAAATTACCAAGTCTGTCCTGTATGTAATCCGGACTGTTGGAGACATCGACCAGTACCCATACAAATCTCTCTGTTTCTCTTTACGGCGGCTTCCAGAAACTCAATGACTTTTATCTCATCATCGGTAACCGTGGTAATTTTGTCGCCGCCCAGATCACTAGTACCTACACCTTCACCACAACATCTGTCGATGATATCTTCCTTCTATGGTTTGGTGCCAATGCCTACTCTGGTTGGACACGTACTAATGCCAATTTGATTGCAGAATTGACCTATCCACGACGAGAATTCACAATTCATATGGGGAAGGAGAATAATACCTACCCCAGTGAGATTCTTATGCGCAAAGGGTGACTGACCGGACTCTTTGTTCTCTCAGCTACCACACCTGATGGAACTACTATTTTGGACGGTAAGACGGTTGCAAGTCTAATAAGTCTCTACATGTTATAGTTCTTCCATGATGGCACTTCGGCACCAGAATATACTGCTTGGGGCTCTGAAATTGAAGGACTGTGAATTAGATGCCATATTCAGACTTTCGTGAGATGGGACGGTAGAATTTGGAAAGTGATAGCTATTGAAACCTGTTCTAAAAGTTGGGGGAAAAGAACAGGGACGTATGATGATTAATATTCATTTGATTATATCATTCCATTGTGAATGTTCAGATTGATTGATATTTTCATGATGTAAATATTTTTCTTTTGGATGGTTACATTTGGTAGCATCCCACTTCCTTCCTCGACCCTCGCTGGCCAGATGTTGCACCTGCAAAATAGGTTTGAGCACAGACCAACATGACACTCAATTGACATCTCGTCTCATTTCATCACTGATATATAAACATATAAACACCTGGACATTGAAACATCAGACTCCAATTGACTTTCATCATTTTTATTCATTCATTATGCCCAAACTTCTTATTATCATATTCTTCTCATCATTAACTGCATGCTTGTATAGGTGCACTGGGGTCATTAATGACCTCAAGACGTGGTATTATCTATGTTCCAGTCCATGAATAACTTGGTATTAACATTCTAGGTGACAACAACCAACACGTCGAATATATTCATGTTGCAGGGAGATTGGGATGATAAAGCTTTTACAACAAGCTACATAACTTAATTGTATGGTACTTCATCATTGCTTCCAATGTTCGTCCAATTAGCAAGCTGTACTACTGCAATGCTGTCGTCAACAACAGGCGGATGGATGTTTCCGGGATTGAACTTATTTCGAAGCGAATAGGACAGTGGTATTGAACTTTGATGCAAACCTATCGATTGAGGGGGGAGAGATGTATACAAGTGTCATGCCGTTTCTCAGAAGCTTTACCCCTTCATCATGATGTATCTGTTCAGTTGCTCCTTAATGATGGCGATAACCCCACATCAAGCACTTTGGTGGGTCCCTGGCCATGTCTTATCCGCAAGAATGCCAAAACCAACTAGAAGCATACTGAGTAGAAGGGGTGCAATTCTGACGGAGGAACTGGTTCCAATACTCGCAGGACCACAATGGATGTTTCTCACAATTCATAGTCGTCCTCTTTCTCGTCCTGCCACATGCGACTTAATTGGGCAACTTTGGTAACTCGGACGGTCCACATCCACCATGCAATTTTCACTTTCCATCCCCACGCTTTAGCAAGCTCGATTATGGTTTTCAATTGACACTTCCATCAACATCAAAATAGGCCGGATGGTGTAGTTGGTTATCACGTGTCCTTAACAATTAACAGTTGTTAAAATACGGACAAGGTCCTGGGATCGTGCCCCAGTCTGGTCATACCTTTTGCATTTTTTGTTGTTTTTTCTGCTCTTTCAAGGTCAATAGTCATGGAAGGACAGGAGATGCATTTTTTGTGTTAATTTTGGAGGATTGTAACTGGTAGTAAGTAGGTCACTCGTGAATTATCCAAGGGACATCCTCCGATGTGTGCTTCATGTGAAGATTTTGGGAGCATTGTCGCCCTACGAATATACCTTGATGAATATACACAGGACGATTTTCCAAACCGCATTGTAATCCTGTAACTAAGGGGTTAGAGCACTACAAATTATCGGACTTTAGCGATACGTTCTTCGAGTTGAAGTCATGAAAGCCTTTATGCCTCATCGGGGCGAGAATGGTCGAGAATGGCAATCAGATACAACATTTGAGCTCGCCCCATCACAAATTCGTAAGATTTCCCTGCTGGCGCAATGGTAGCGCGCAAGACTTCTAAGTAGTGTTTATATCTACACACGAATCGATCTTGAGGCTGTAGGTTCAAGCCCTACGTAGGGAGTTACCCAAAGTATTATTGGTTTGAATCCAACATTGCAATCAATTTTTGCACATTTGTTAGAGTTCTGTTGCTGTTCGCCACAAAGAAGGGGCTTAATTGGAGGAGCAGTAAGATGCACATCTGGAATAACCACAATCTTTTGCGAGTAAATCTGAGGTCAAGTTTCACACAAGTGGAAGAAATGTCGCATTAAAAGACTATCCTGTATACTCGCCATGGAGAAGCCCTGAATTTTCCGCGGTTACAGCGTATAGTTGGGTGAATAGAAAATAGACATTGAAAATGAGCAGGCCAGAATAGTTATTATTTTTATCTCGAATATCTACAAGAGCGAAGTCTCGCCCTTCATGCCACCATCAAGTGTTTGAAGCGCTGGTAGCTTTAGCGTGAACATCTCATTATATAACCGTTTGTTTGAAGCCGGACGACTTTAGTGAAAGACATGCTGGATATACATCTGCTGCCAAAATCCCAAATACTTACCGTATGATTTGGATGTTTTCCTTTATCCTAGACAGTTGATGGACTTCTTCTTCGGAATTTTAAAAGAAGATAGTTAGATCATGGCAAATATCTTCAAGGGACTTCACTTTGAAATGATAAGTGGAAGACGGAGGTCCTTGCGAAAAAGTTGTTTCCGGCGCTAGTTAGAATTTTTTTCAGTTCCCCACTAAACCATAATTTGGATTAAATAAGTTTTTAAACAATCATGGCTCCTTTAACAAATAGAGCAAATAGTTCTACAACAGCCTGCCCGGCTAGCTCAATCGGTAGAGCGTGTGACTCTTACGATTCTAAATCTACGAGTTTTTCTGATATCACAAGGTTGCGGGTTCGACCCCCGCGTTGGGCTCAATTCCCTTCATTGACTTAAATTTTATCTTTTTTTGGCCCATTTTCAATATGTTGCATCATACATCCACATATTCTATCTACTGAGCTTGTGTGCTTTGGGGCATCCTCTTTTCTTTCGTTGGAGTATTTGTTTTATGTTTTATATAGTTTATATCAATTACACCTTCCTTGATTGATCACTTCCGTCATTTTTGATATCTTTATCACTTTGAAGGTAGAGACAGACAGACTACTTTGGATGAACACTAAGTAAGATACGAGTCATTGATTTTAAAGGAAATCTATACAAGTTTTCTTAAGATGCCTTTAGATAAATCAATGGTTGGTTGCATGAGAAGACGTTGCTAATTTATTTTACTATACTTAATTAACTCCTAACATCTAAAATGCTTTAGCTGATTTACGGATATACTTACTTATTACTTACTATCCTTGCAAAGCTGATTAAATTACTTCGGAGGTCCACAAGTTTAAAAAGATGGATGGAACCCACAATCGTTTGTTTAAACAGGAGCTTCTGGAAGTGACCATAGCGTCCTCTGTGAGCTATTTAGACATCCAAAAGGGAACCTCGTATATCGAATATGATAACATATCCGGCATGGTGTAGTGGCTAGCATTTCCGCCTCTCATTCGAAGCTTTACAGCTTTGATCAAGTCGCGGGAGACCGGGGTTCAATTCCCCGTACCGGAATTACCATTTTGCCATTTCAATGTATGAAGTTTTGTTTTTCACCTGACAACCTTTGTTTTGCTACTCCTTGAGGCATCCCGAGAAATAGCAAAAATGTAATTTCTAACTATTAGATAGATCTTGATTCCTTTCCAAGTGGGAAGGATCTGCTCCCAATTTTTGTCCACTTGCCAATCCTCATGATGGAAAAGTTTTCCAGGCGAGGATTATGTCGCAAAAAATGGATGTATACAAGTGGGGGATCACGGGTTGTAAGTAATTGAGGTAATGGGTTATTATCATAGGCAGCTCGGATATCTTCCGGGGGGTTGCAGGTTGTTTGTTTATTTATAATTTTCTTTTTCCTACACAACCTGTACATATCATTGGCCTATCGCATGGTCCACATAGCCTTAGCTATAGTTAGATCAAATCGATTATGAGTTTACTACTACTACAAGTGGGGGTGATTTGAGGTCCTAGCGTATCTTGCATGCAAAAAGAGAGTTTTGAGTCAGGGCCTAATCCGGGATTGAACCGGAGACCTCTTACATTTTAGATTGGTCAACCCAAAGCAAGAATTCTACCACTAAACTATCAGGCCTTTTACATACTATCACTGCCGATCTTTGGGTAAATATTTCCGGATTGGAATGATAGTATCTTGGATGGAGTGGAGCCTATTTCGTGAAACATACCATACGCTTGGATTAGTATCTCTCAGTCCACCTTCCCACGGCAGTCAATCGAAAAGCGTACGTACGTATAGCTTTGCTGGATGACTGGTGTCATAGCTTGAAACAAGTCTAATCTTCTAGCGCAAAGTTCAATCTTCACATTGATTATCCTCTACTTATATCTCTGCCGCGTCCTTCTGCTATATGCATGTCACCTGGAAGCCGTTAGATATAGGCAGAGAAGGTTCATGCAGAGTATGAGGAAGTTGGAAGTATCAATCTATGGTATATGCTAGCATCTATATTTGCAGATGATTTTATGGCATCAGGCTATTACATCTATGGAGCACAGATGTCCTAAAGTATATCAATAGATTTTGCTTTGGATATGTCGACGGCACTTTCGTCCTCCAAATCATGTTCAGTGGGGTCATCAACCCGCTTAGGAAGTTGTGTGGGTTCCTGACACATTTGTGGATGAGAATATATAATGAAATATGCCCTCGACTCGGCATATTAAAAAGGTGTTGTGGTTTAGTGGTATAATTCTTGCTTAGGGATCTATCAGTTGTTGCCAATTGATTCTCCATGTAAGAGGTCCCCGGTTCAATCCCGGGCAACGCCCCTCAGTTTTCTTTTGCAATTTTTGCAGATTTTGGGTAATATGGAGAAACTGGGTTGGGGCAAGCGAGGTAAATAGAGGGAGGAGACATGGAGAACTATCCCTGCCCAGCCAGCTGCAGATGATGTGGGTTTTAGCTATATAGAAATTAACTGAGATATGATATGTGTGGAAAGGTGTTTCTTAGTACTTCATACCACTTCTTTATGAAATCCTCCATGACATTTTTGAGTTCCTTCAAATTTTGAAGTTCTGATGTAAAAAAACAAGATAGCTGTTGGGTGTAGCTACTATGTACTACCTGCGTGTCCAACTAACGATGCGGAAATACACCTTGCTGTGGCCACCGAGGAACTCGGAACATTCTTACAAGGCCAATATCAGGCTCCAAGTCAATCAATCTTGTTCACTTGAAACACTCTTTAATCAGTATCATTCGCCATTCAACAATAATTAGATCCACGCCATCCCTAGA